AAAAAAAAAAATTAAATGAAGCAAATAGGAGAGAAATAGATAACAAAATAACAAACGTTATCAGCCACATGAATAATTTCCTTGAAATTAACATTATCCAAAAGAGCTGGCGCATAACAAATATGTTCAGGATTATTTTGAAGCCAAAATATGATCGCTTCATAAATTTCTGATACCCATTCAGGTCCTTGTAATACTGGTGAAGAAATAAGCGCATAAAGCATTTCGAATGATAACTAAAAAAAGGGAAAGAGAGAGAGAGAAAGAGAAAGAAGAATATTAGTTCTTTTAAATTTAGGCAACTTTCCTAATTTTTTTTTCTTTAAATTGCTCTGAAATAATAATGAAAACAAACAAAAAAATATACAAAAGAAATTATTTCTTTTTTTTTCCTATACTTTTAAAAATTCTGGGTTTGCCAGAATATCATGAAATTTTATTGCTGCACCATCAACAACCATATTACGATACTGTGATTGTCTAAATGTAAGATAAAAATTAATGATAAGAAAAAAGTTATGATAAAATAATTTTTTTTATAGATAGTAATATTATAGTTTCATTTAAGATAATAACAAAATTTCGTTGAGCGATTAGATTTTTTCCTTTTTTATTATAAATTTTGGACTTTTTTTTATGCTAGAAGCTTTGAAACTATAAACAGGTAAACATTGATAAATACCTGATTATATGATTTAAAATGAAAAAATTAATTAAACAAACGGAGCTAGACAAGCAATAGCAGAGTAAAGTAATGAAATTGGTGGTGATGTATTTTCTAATATGCGTGCAGTCATTTCTTCACAAATTAATGATACCAATGAAGTTACCTGAAAACTTTTTTCTTTTTTTTTGTGTCAAAATTTTTTTTAAATAAAAATTTAACTGCAAATACAATTATATCTACTAATCATAACTATAATTTTATTGGATAGAAAGATTTGCTTTCCATTTATTTTAATTATTAAAAAGAATATTTGTCTCTATTTAATCACTACAATTTTTTTCTATATCATTTAAATATCTTTTGTTAAGGTATATTTTCAGAATTCAGACATTTTGTTCCATCTGTATTGGTTTTATCAATTCTTCGTTTAGCCTATTTAATTCATTTGACTTTGTCAACTGATTTCATTTTTTTTTTTCTTTTTTAAAATAAAAGTGTTATTTTAATTCCTAAATTCTTTATTATTAAGTTAAGTTTAATGTATTTACTCGAAGATCATTAGCTGCTATTAGAACATTCTCCAATTCAGTTTCTAAAAATTTAATTTGTCCACTTTGAATGAAAGCTACCACGTTATAGAGACCGGCATTCGTAATATTTGGCATACCATATAAATGAACTGTGATTTCTTTACCGGATGAAAGTATTTCCGGTGTTGCCTAAATATAATCTTTCTAGGATAGTTACTCATATTACTTTTATAGTTATTTAAAATTTTAATTAGTTTATAAAATACTTTCATTACATAAATAATATTTGTGACAAGTATAAATGTATAAAATTCCTATATTAATGATAATTTACTCAGGTGCAACAGATCAATATATCAAAAATATATCAAAAATCAAATTAGCTCATTTCTTTTTTTTTATTTAAATTGTTTCATATTTCTATATATCAAAAATCAAATTAGCTCATTTCTTTTTTATTTAAATTGTTTCATATTTCTGTTCTAATTTCATCACTTCATTTCTATCCTGAATACTATTTGATATTATGCAATACATAAAGTCTATTTGATATTTTAGGATGAATTTAGTGATATGATAAAAACTAGTTCTCATATATCAAAATGTTTGTGAAAATTTCTGCGAAACTTTTATGAAATGTTTTGAAAGAAAGATATTTGTGAAATATTTTTTTTTTTTTTAAAAAAAAAAACAGATTGAAATGATCAAATATTTAAACAATTACAAATTTTGTACAACATATATTAATTAATTCAATTAAAATTTACTTGTGATGAAATAAGTTTGCGAAAAATATCAGAGAATGCAACAAGTAAGCATGCAGGTGCATTACATGAATATCCATTTTCAAGCACAATTTTTACTCGATTTTTGAAACCAATATTTGCTGACCACTTTAAATAAACTTCAGCTTCTAATCTATCAGTACGCAATTCATCCTTAAATGAAAAAAAAAAAAAAAAAAAAAAATTGTTAAATATAGACACGAAAAACTTTGAAATTACTTAATTTCAAATAAATTTTTAAAACATCTTTTACGTTTCAACTTTTTTTTCATCAATTTCTTTTTTTTTTTTTTAATCATAGTAATACATTGAAATTTTTCAATAGTTAATTTAATACAGATATAAAAATGCTCGCAAATAATAAAATAGAACTATCTTATAAAAAAAAAATTTAGCATATTTAGTTTTTTGTTAAATAATTTATTAATTATTATGATATTAAACATAAAAAAAAGAATGAATATGCAAACAATAATCTTTTTTATTTCAAAAATGAAATTTTTAATTTTTTAGTATTTCAAATATTCTTATCAATAACTGAATTAATTTTTTTTAATAGCCATAAATATGATTTTTTTAAAGAAATAATTTGAAAAAATTCTAAACACTGTTCATGTTTTTTCTTTCACTTTTTTTTTTTTTTTTTTTTATGCTTAAATATAAATATGCCTTTTTTTAATAATTAATTACGAAAATTAAATTAAATCAGACCTGCAAATAATATTTGCGAATATCTCCTGGTACAACCCATACAACATCCAACACTAGTCGCTGCTGTAACTGCGGCACTCCTTCCTGCGATCTGCCGTACCACATCTGATAGAAGCATGCAAATGATCCGTTGCAATAATTCAAATCAAATAAATTTGTTTTATTCTTATAAATAAATTTGCATATGAATGTAGCAAATCGTTCATTTAAGCTTCCATTTTCGTTTTTCAAATCAGCCATTAATGTATTTTTCAATACAATTTGAATAATTGATAGTTCGAAAAATTATTTCACGCATTAACTGATATTAATTTAAAATTAGCAAAAATAATTAATACAATTTGAATTATTGATAGTTATAAAAATTTTTTCAAGTATTTATTGATATTATTTAAAAACAAGCAAAATAATAAGTAAATATAAACAAAATTTCTTAATTTCCTAATATCCTTTTTTTTGTCTTTTTTTTTTTTTTTTTTAACATTTTGATGGAAATGACCAAACTGGATTTTACTTGGAATAACAGATAATTAGAAGAATTTAATTCTTTAAAAATTAGTTCTTTAAAAAAAAAAAGTTTAAACATAATTTTTTGTCTTATTTAGAAAGAAGATTTTTGAAAAAAAAGAGGAACAAAAAAACAAACAGAATTGATCCATCTTTTTCTTTATTAAAAAATAAAGAACAAGAAAATTGTTTTTACCATCTTTTGTTACAGACTTTTGAATATGTGTTGTATACTGTAAATTCATCTGTAAACAACGGTTACAATCTTGATCATTTTCGTCTTAAATGTGATGATTTATTTGAAATTTTGAATGCTGATTTATTGAAAGTAAATGATGAGGTATACTAATTGAATGTTACACATTTTAAATACATGAAAAGTATTTTGTGCTTATTGATAAAGTACGAATTTTTGCTAAATTTTTAAATTCTAATTTTTTTAAATAAGGAAAAAAATTACATTTCTATATTGTGTTAGATGGATGTTTGGATTCTTCTTCTTAAACGATGGATTTTGATAGATTGTAAAAAACGTATGCCATATTGTTGTCAACTATGTGTTATAATTTGTTAAATGATGAACAGGTTTAACAAAATTTTCTCTTATTTCTATATCAATTTAAATTGTGATTTTGATTTTATATATTTTTTCATGCAATAATTACTGTTTGCGAAGAAATCTTCTACAATTTTCATTTCATTCCATCATAAGCTATAATTAATTATAATTAAAATGATTAAATGAGAGCTTTAATGATTGATGTAAGTATTTCTGCACTGTAGCAAAATTTAATTCAAGTTCTAATTAAATACAGCGATGAGTTTAAGAAATAAAATTTTATGGTTTTCTAAATTTTTCATAAAAATTTCTGTTCTTTAACAAGGCATTATTGATATGAAATATTTGTAAATGTATATTTATTAAATGTATCACTAATATCTAACAAAATTCATCCAAAATATTCCATTAATTTATGAATATAAACTTAAAAAAAGAAACAAATTTTAATTGAACATTTACTTCAGCATTCAATATAAATATATTACCAATATTAAAAAATATTGATTAAAAAGACAATTTAATATTAAATATTAAAAAGGACAAATATTGAATATTAAGAAAAAGAGGCAATAAAAGATAAAGAAAAATTTGTTAATATTAAATTAATAATCAGAAAAAAAAGAGGAGATAAAGAAAACCATTGTGGGAAATTTTCAGGAGGATGAAATTAAAAAAGATCTTACACGTTTTAAAATAAACATTATCGATGATCAAAAAAATATGATTTGGTCAATGAATAGGGAAACGAGAATTCCACGTCACTTATTATTAGCAATTGGAGGATGGGAGAAAAAAAGGCCAACAAATGTCGCAGAATTATTAAATAATAAATGGCAACGTGCAAAGACATTTGAAGATAAATGTCAAATAGCTTATTATGAATGTATCGTTATCAATAATGTAAAAATTTTACTATTAAATATTTAATATTTATTTGGTTATTTTGTTCAATAGAAGAAAGCATTATTTAAATAATCTTTTTTTTTTTTTTTTTTAAACAGAGAAAAGAAATATTTATTGAAGAAAATAATTCCATTAAGATTTTTTTTTTCTGATAAAATTCTATTTTTATTAAGTATGTTTTATCATTTGTATATATTCAAATAATATGGAATTTGTTTATTATTTAAATTTATAAATTTTAAAATGTTAACTTTAGAAATTATATGTTATTGGTTGTTTTGAAGGAAAACAATATTTTAATATCAAACGTGTTGTTATAATAGTGAAACAAAACAATGATCTTAATTAGCTCCAATAAATTATCCAAGGTAAACTTTTTAGTATGTAATTCTTATAATATGAAAGATATTTGTAAAAATTCAAATAAACATTTACCGAATGCAATTTGCATTTGCCATATTGTTTGACCCACGTGAAATACGCCACTACTTTTACAGTATATTTGTTTGTTATTTAGGTGAAACAAATAATTACTTACCATTGCAACTAGATAAGAAAAAGTCCAAAATGGATAAATTTCACTGTTTTTACAATTTTTAAAGCATTTTTTCATTTTTTTTTTTTTTTTTTCATAATTATCAACATTTGCAGCTTTCTAATTAATCTAAAAAATTTTGTATTGGTTAATTGGAAATGTAGTTTAAATGGTTTTTCAGATTAAAAGTCTCATTCGTTATTTGCGAGTGAATTTTGCTTATATTCAAAGAAATGCTGCTTGGGCACTTACTAATTGCGCCTGTTCACCGCATGAAATATGCTATAAAATAATTCAATACGTAAGTTTATATATGAATATATCTTCTATAATGTATATTTCATTATTAATAATCAAAAATTTATTTTTTTAAACTATTTAATAATATTTCTTGGTGAGATAAGTTATTTTTAAGGATGATCTAGAAGCATTGGTCGAATGTGCCGCAGAAACAGATGGTGAAACTCGAGATCAGGTTTTCTGGGCTCTTGGTAATATTGCGTTGGATTGTCCTACATGTCAAGAAATGGTAATACTTCAGCAGCAACAATGACAATAATAGCAACGATATGATAACTTGCGAATTCATAAACAACATTTATTTTCTTATTACTATATTTATATACTTTCATTTTTATTCATACCTATTAGTAGTGGCGATACAGGTACAAAGTAGTGCTGCACTACCACTTATGATCGATGTTCTTATTAGTCCAATGTTCATCCGTTCAAAATGGATACGAAATCTTATCTGGGCTTTATCACAGATAATTCGTGGTGGTATTCGAACACTTGATATTATGGTTAGTTTAATAATATTTATAAGCCATAAAATAAAATGTATATTTCATTCTTTACATTTTCCTATTCAAGTTTTTAAAATGAAATTATTTATTATAATAAAATAGATAATAAGAAAATAATTAAATATTTTATTTTTAGTTTGTTCGAGCAGCATTAACTGGTCTTCGTCCAGTGCTGTATTTGGAAGATTCTAAAATAAAAATGGACGCAATTTGGGCGATATTGCTGTTGATCATGTTGGTGGTGGGCAGGTACAACTTGAAATTATTTAATAAATTTTTTAGGTATGAGATGAAGTAACCGTGTTATTTATGAAGAATGATCAATTTAATGATTATTTTTTCTTTTTTTTTTTTTTTTTTTTTTTGTAGTAAAATGATTTGTTAGAATGTTTGCTTACTGACAACAAAATCAGATTGATGCAGTATTGCAAACGCCAGCTTTGTTGGAAAGACTGATCGAACTGCTAGCTGAAAAGCGTACAATGCGTGCAGCACTGAGAGCACTCGGGAATTTGGTGGCGGGAAATGATGCACAAACTCAAGCAGTTCTCAATGCTGGCTTATTACCGCGCATGGTACCTCATCACTTTACATTTCAATTCATTGCATCAGTTTCAAGCAACTCATTATTGATCAACGATCTTAGTTAATCTCATTTGATTTTCAAATGATCAAAAAAGTTCTTATCTTAAACAATTTTCATGCTGTATCTGATACGATAATTTAATTAAGGTTTACATGAATTAAATTACCTATTTCATTAGTTTAACTACTCCCACACCTGTCTTAATTAATAATGGATTAAGCTTAGCAACTATTATCAGTGCCAATTGAAAGGGAAGTCATTAGTAGATTTCTGACAGCTAATCGATGAGTTTAGTCTACTTCATTTTAATGATAAGCAAATGAGATATCAATGCATCATTTGACGAGTACTTTTGCACGTAAAAATCATATCTTAACAATACAAATATAAATTTGCTTGTCATATTAAGTAATGTAATTATTTTGTAGATGGAATTATTTGGACCTATGATGCCAATTAATCAAAAACATGAAATAATGTGGATTCTTAGTAATATAGCGGCTGGTTCACAGCGACAAATTGATTTACTGTTTGAAACGAATGATATCGTTGAAATACTTATTGGCACATTCTATAACGATGATCATCGCATTCGCAAGGTTTTTTTAAATCGTTTCAAATTGTAATTTCATAAAAGTTCACTACTAATTTGCAGCATATTTTAGGAAATAGGTTGGACAGTTATAAATGCGTTAACTGGTGCCAGTGAAAATCGATCACGTTGGCTATGTGCAAGCAACGTGCTTAGTATAGTACCACACGTGCTCAATATGCATGCTGAGCATGACTTGATAGAACGAACACTAGATGCTATTGAATTGTTGATCGAAAAGCAAATCAATTATTTTTTTATACTTGAAAATTATCAGATTATGGAAGCGTTACGTCAAATTGCTCAAAATCAAAATAATTGCTATGATATGCATATTAAGGTTGCTTATATTGGCTATTGTTAATTTCAGATGAATAATATTGGAATAATTAGTGTTAGAAAACGATTAATTAAGAAATTAATAATCATCCAGAAATTTAAATACATTTATATTTTTTTTATTTATTACATACTATTTACTATTTTTTAAAATTTATGTTTAGAGGAAAAAAAAATTTTGTTAATTGATGAATGAAAATCTTCATAAGGTTATAAAATTGTATTTTCATTATTTACAAAAAACAGTAAGAAAAGATGGAATAAGTAAATCTTTTTTTTCCGTAAAATTATTTGATTTTCCTTCTTTTTTCTTTTGAAAAAGCCTTGAATTAATTTATTTTTATTAAATTAATTAGTTTCATTCGAAAAAGGATGAAATTTTAATAGCAGTATTTCTCTACGAAATTAACTGCAATAATTTAAAATGAAAATAAAAATAAGATCGAAATACCAAAAATGTTGTTAAAATGCTTTATGATTATCTGTTAGTTGTAATATCCAAAAAAAGCTTGAAATTGAAAATTTCAATTAAATTTAAAATTGCAAAATTTATTTCATTTCATCTAAAATGATTTTTTAATAATTATCCTTGAAGAAGAATAATGCTTTGCTTATTTTGTTTATATTTACTTATTATTTTGCTTGTTTTTAAATAATATCAATAAATACTTGAAAAAATTTTTATAACTATCAATAATTCAAATTGTATTAATTATTTTTGCTAATTTTAAATTAATATCAGTTAATGCGTGAAATAATTTTTCGAACTATCAATTATTCAAATTGTATTGAAAAATACATTAATGGCTGATTTGAAAAACGAAAATGGAAGCTTAAATGAACGATTTGCTACATTCATATGCAAATTTATTTATAAGAATAAAACAAATTTATTTGATTTGAATTATTGCAACGGATCATTTGCATGCTTCTATCAGATGTGGTACGGCAGATCGCAGGAAGGAGTGCCGCAGTTACAGCAGCGACTAGTGTTGGATGTTGTATGGGTTGTACCAGGAGATATTCGCAAATATTATTTGCAGGTCTGATTTAATTTAATTTTCGTAATTAATTATTAAAAAAAGGCATATTTATATTTAAGCATAAAAAAAAAAAAAAAAAAAGTGAAAGAAAAAACATGAACAGTGTTTAGAATTTTTTCAAATTATTTCTTTAAAAAAATCATATTTATGGCTATTAAAAAAAATTAATTCAGTTATTGATAAGAATATTTGAAATACTAAAAAATTAAAAATTTCATTTTTGAAATAAAAAAGATTATTGTTTGCATATTCATTCTTTTTTTTATGTTTAATATCATAATAATTAATAAATTATTTAACAAAAAACTAAATATGCTAAATTTTTTTTTTATAAGATAGTTCTATTTTATTATTTGCGAGCATTTTTATATCTGTATTAAATTAACTATTGAAAAATTTCAATGTATTACTATGATTAAAAAAAAAAAAAAGAAATTGATGAAAAAAAAGTTGAAACGTAAAAGATGTTTTAAAAATTTATTTGAAATTAAGTAATTTCAAAGTTTTTCGTGTCTATATTTAACAATTTTTTTTTTTTTTTTTTTTTTTTCATTTAAGGATGAATTGCGTACTGATAGATTAGAAGCTGAAGTTTATTTAAAGTGGTCAGCAAATATTGGTTTCAAAAATCGAGTAAAAATTGTGCTTGAAAATGGATATTCATGTAATGCACCTGCATGCTTACTTGTTGCATTCTCTGATATTTTTCGCAAACTTATTTCATCACAAGTAAATTTTAATTGAATTAATTAATATATGTTGTACAAATTTGTAATTGTTTAAATATTTGATCATTTCAATCTGTTTTTTTTTTTAAAAAAAAAAAAATATTTCACAAATATCTTTCTTTCAAAACATTTCATAAAAGTTTCGCAGAAATTTTCACAAACATTTTGATATATGAGAACTAGTTTTTATCATATCACTAAATTCATCCTAAAATATCAAATAGACTTTATGTATTGCATAATATCAAATAGTATTCAGGATAGAAATGAAGTGATGAAATTAGAACAGAAATATGAAACAATTTAAATAAAAAAGAAATGAGCTAATTTGATTTTTGATATATAGAAATATGAAACAATTTAAATAAAAAAAAGAAATGAGCTAATTTGATTTTTGATATATTTTTGATATATTGATCTGTTGCACCTGAGTAAATTATCATTAATATAGGAATTTTATACATTTATACTTGTCACAAATATTATTTATGTAATGAAAGTATTTTATAAACTAATTAAAATTTTAAATAACTATAAAAGTAATATGAGTAACTATCCTAGAAAGATTATATTTAGGCAACACCGGAAATACTTTCATCCGGTAAAGAAATCACAGTTCATTTATATGGTATGCCAAATATTACGAATGCCGTCTCTATAACGTGGTAGCTTTCATTCAAAGTGGACAAATTAAATTTTTAGAAACTGAATTGGAGAATGTTCTAATAGCAGCTAATGATCTTCGAGTAAATACATTAAACTTAACTTAATAATAAAGAATTTAGGAATTAAAATAACACTTTTATTTTAAAAAAAAAAAAAAAAATGAAATCAGTTGACAAAGTCAAATGAATTAAATAGGCTAAACGAAGAATTGATAAAACCAATACAGATGGAACAAAATGTCTGAATTCTGAAAATATACCTTAACAAAAGATATTTAAATGATATAGAAAAAAATTGTAGTGATTAAATAGAGACAAATATTCTTTTTAATAATTAAAATAAATGGAAAGCAAATCTTTCTATCCAATAAAATTATAGTTATGATTAGCAGATATAATTGTATTTGCAGTTAAATTTTTATTTAAAAAAATTTTGACACAAAAAAAAGAAAAAAGTTTTCAGGTAACTTCATTGGTATCATTAATTTGTGAAGAAATGACTGCACGCATATTAGAAAATACATCACCACCAATTTCATTACTTTACTCTGCTATTGCTTGTCTAGCTCCGTTTGTTTAATTAATTTTTTCATTTTAAATCATATAATCAGGTATTTATCAATGTTTACCTGTTTATAGTTTCAAAGCTTCTAGCATAAAAAAAAGTCCAAAATTTATAATAAAAAAGGAAAAAATCTAATCGCTCAACGAAATTTTGTTATTATCTTAAATGAAACTATAATATTACTATCTATAAAAAAAATTATTTTATCATAACTTTTTTCTTATCATTAATTTTTATCTTACATTTAGACAATCACAGTATCGTAATATGGTTGTTGATGGTGCAGCAATAAAATTTCATGATATTCTGGCAAACCCAGAATTTTTAAAAGTATAGGAAAAAAAAGAAATAATTTCTTTTGTATATTTTTTTGTTTGTTTTCATTATTATTTCAGAGCAATTTAAAGAAAAAAAATTAGGAAAGTTGCCTAAATTTAAAAGAACTAATATTCTTCTTTCTCTTTCTCTCTCTCTCTTTCCCTTTTTTTAGTTATCATTCGAAATGCTTTATGCGCTTATTTCTTCACCAGTATTACAAGGACCTGAATGGGTATCAGAAATTTATGAAGCGATCATATTTTGGCTTCAAAATAATCCTGAACATATTTGTTATGCGCCAGCTCTTTTGGATAATGTTAATTTCAAGGAAATTATTCATGTGGCTGATAACGTTTGTTATTTTGTTATCTATTTCTCTCCTATTTGCTTCATTTAATTTTTTTTTTTTTTTTAAAACTTCCAATTATAAGGATTATTTAAAAAATGGCAGATAAATTATTAAAGATAAAGAAAATAAGGATTTAATACATGATAAGATAAAATTCTTTTTTAATTTTTCTAGCGTCAAGAAATAATGAAGAAATCATTGGATGTACCAGATTTGGGACCAATTGTGCAACTCTTTTTAATGGATGCAATTTATGCCAAATTTGTGGTTTCCATTTTTTTTATTTTTTGATTTTTTAAACAAATATATCAATTTCACATTATGAAAAGAAAAATTTGTAATCATTTAAATTTGTATGTTTGCGAAACAAAAAAAAAAAATCAATGTTATAAGTATATGATTAAAAGTTAACATTAAAAATTTAGAACAAAATAGCTACCTAAAAATTAAATTATAGGATCATTTGACATCACCACAAAATCGCAATCAATCATTATCATCGTCCATCTATACGGTGTCTGGTGCAGAAACTGCAATTGCACCAGATCCATTAAGAGGAACATTAGGATTAGCATCATCACCTCTTGGATCATATATCATTCCACCTTTTGATTCGGTATCATCTGTAACAACCAGAAGTATTAGTAATGAAACATCCGTATCAGTTGACAAAAATTGGCGTCCAGCTCAACAGCTTCCAATAGGATCTGGTAGTTCTCGTAATCGAACAGGTTATCAAAATAGCGTAATTTACCCAACCCAGGAAAAGATTAGTGATAGTGGATGACAATTTTGGTTTGAAATTTTAACTCAACAATCAAAGCATTTGTCTAAAAGTGGAAATGTAACAAGTGAAATGGTTCCACTCCAAAATAGCACCAAACTCTCTCTATATTACCACCAAAAAGCTCTCATGATTCGATTTGTATGGTAATTACAGCACGTAATGATCCGATACTCACCTACTCAAATGTTCCTATTACTACTTCTGATGCTGCTGCTAACGATGATACTGCTGGTGCTATCGGTGGTGGTGCGGCTGGAATTGATACTACTGATTGTGGTGTTATCGATGGTGATACTATTAGAGATGGTGTCATTACTGATAGTACTATTGGTAATGGTGCTATTGATGGTACTGTGGCGGTGGTGCTATTGGTGGTGGTAGTGGTGAACAGGAAAGATCAGGCGCCGCTATCACAAGCTTTCCAACACTAGAATCAGCTGAAATTCGAACAAGTAGCAGTCAAGAATCGGCATCAAATTTGAAACGACGACCTAAATTTGAGCAAATCCCATTACGAACTGAACCACCAAAAAGTCGCAAAGAATTACGTAAGGAACGACAGGCACGTGAAAAAACTGACACGAAGTGATTAAGAATGATCAATGAATTATTAATTTCCTATATGAATTTCAAATTTAATTCTCACCGTACTATCATAACATTTTTTCTTCATTTCCCAATGTGCTAATTATAATTTTAAAAGGAATAAAAAGAAAATATTTTTCTTTCTGATTTTGCCATAAACATACTAAATTATAGGTATAATCAATCAAACTTAGAAATTATAATTGATTTCTCAGAGTAAAAAATTTTTGAATGGTTTTAGTTGTTTAGAAGAGAAAAATGAAACAATATTTTTTTGCTCTTATCAAAACAAAGAAAAAAAACGTATTCACATATCATATAATGATGAATTTCACGCTGCTTAAATTGCTAAACTTTAGTTTAGCGTCTCATACAATTATAAGCATCGTAATATCCAAACGTAAGATCCAAATTAAAATTCTCATTTAAATTAATAATGATTTCTAATAAGCTAGATTAGAGAACAAATCATAATATTTGTAATTTCAATTACAGCAAAAATAATACCAAAGTAAAAATAATTCAATAATATTACTTTATGACTAAAAAATTTTAAATTTTCAAAAAAAGAAAATTTAAGTTGAAATTTGTTGTTAAAATCAATAACTAATAAGTCAAGCCAAATGTACATGTGTACATGTCGAAATAACTATCAATTTGAATATTTTAACATTTTGTTTCAAATTCTGGCAATTTCAAAATGAAATCTGACATCACTTTATCAACAAATTAATTAATGCTTTCTTTTTTTTTTCGTCATCAAATTTTATTTCGCCAAAAGTAATCATTGCAAGCTATCATTTTAGCTTTCAATTGTTGCGTATACTAATGCTAAGTGATGAAATGATTAGTTCGTTTTATTTTATTTTATTTTTTATTATTTTTCATATTTATTTCTGCTAGCAATTTCTTCCAATTTTCGAAATTAAACTTAAGCTACCTGCATAGAAAGCCACAATCATCGTTATCACCATCATCATCCATCTGAATAAGAGATGGTGTCATTACTGGTAGTACTATTGGCAATGGTGCTGTCGTGAAACCTCAAACTTGGGTAATTAAACCTTTATTTAACATGAAGCAAATAATAGCGCTTTATACATATCGTACGGATGCTACACCGATTAACGAACGCGTAACGAAAGATATAATTATAAAACATTAAAATGATATCAAAATCATCCCAAAATGCAGAATGAACCACCGTATGGAGGACGATGGTTTATATGCAGAACTGAGCTGACCAGATATCCGGCAGAGGATATTTAACTGATGTGAAACAAAGATTGCTAATAAAAGGTTTTGCTAACAAAGGGTTGCTAACGAAGGGTTTGCTAACAAAGGGTTTTGTTGTGTGAGGAACGAAAGATAATTATAAAATCCATTTTATCCATTTTGGACTTTTTCTTATCTAGTTGCAATGGTAAGTAATTATTTGTTTCACCTAAATAACAAACAAATATACTGTAAAAGTAGTGGCGTATTTCACGTGGGTCAAACAATATGGCAAATGCAAATTGCATTCGGTAAATGTTTATTTGAATTTTTACAAATATCTTTCATATTATAAGAATTACATACTAAAAAGTTTACCTTGGATAATTTATTGGAGCTAATTAAGATCATTGTTTTGTTTCACTATTATAACAACACGTTTGATATTAAAATATTGTTTTCCTTCAAAACAACCAATAACATATAATTTCTAAAGTTAACATTTTAAAATTTATAAATTTAAATAATAAACAAATTCCATATTATTTGAATATATACAAATGATAAAACATACTTAATAAAAATAGAATTTTATCAGAAAAAAAAATCTTAATGGAATTATTTTCTTCAATAAATATTTCTTTTCTCTGTTTAAAAAAAAAAAAAAAAGATTATTTAAATAATGCTTTCTTCTATTGAACAAAATAACCAAATAAATATTAAATATTTAATAGTAAAATTTTACATTATTGATAACGATACATTCATAATAAGCTATTTGACATTTATCTTCAAATGTCTTTGCACGTTGCCATTTATTATTTAATAATTCTGCGACATTTGTTGGCCTTTTTTTCTCCATCCTCCAATTGCTAATAATAAGTGACGTGGAATTCTCGTTTCCCTATTCATTGACCAAATCATATTTTTTTGATCATCGATAATGTTTATTTAAAACGTGTAAGATCTTTTTTAATTTCATCCTCCTGAAAATTTCCCACAATGGTTTTCTTTATCTCCCTCTTTTTTTCTGATTATTAATTTAATATTAACAAATTTTTCTTTATCTTTTATTGCCTCTTTTTCTTAATATTCAATATTTGTCCTTTTTAATATTTAATATTAAATTGTCTTTTAATCAATATTTTTTAATATTGGTAATATATTTATATTGAATGCTGAAGTAAATGTTCAATTAAAATTTGTTTCTTTTTTTAAGTTTATATTCATAAATTAATGGAATATTTTGGATGAATTTTGTTAGATATTAGTGATACATTTAATAAATATACATTTACAAATATTTCATATCAATAATGCCTTGTTAAAGAACAGAATTTTTATGAAAAATTTAGAAAACCATAAAATTTTATTTCTTAAACTCATCGCTGTATTTAATTAGAACTTGAATTAAATTTTGCTACAGTGCAGAAATACTTACATCAATCATTAAAGCTCTCATTTAATCATTTTAATTATAATTAATTATAGCTTATGATGGAATGAAATGAAAATTGTAGAAGATTTCTTCGCAAACAGTAATTATTGCATGAAAAAATATATAAAATCAAAATCACAATTTAAATTGATATAGAAATAAGAGAAAATTTTGTTAAACCTGTTCATCATTTAACAAATTATAACACATAGTTGACAACAATATGGCATACGTTTTTTACAATCTATCAAATCATCATCGTTTAAGAAGAAGAATCCAAACATCCATCTAACACAATATAGAAATGTAATTTTTTTCCTTATTTAAAAAAATTAGAATTTAAAAATTTAGCAAAAATTCGTACTTTATCAATAAGCACAAAATACTTTTCATGTATTTAAAATGTGTAACATTCAATTAGTATACCTCATCATTTACTTTCAATAAATCAGCATTCAAAATTTCAAATAAATCATCACATTTAAGACGAAAATGATCAAGATTGTAACCGTTGTTTACAGATGAATTTACAGTATACAACACATATTCAAAAGTCTGTAACAAAAGATGGTAAAAACAATTTTCTTGTTCTTTATTTTTTAATAAAGAAAAAGATGGATCAAACTTTTTTTTTTAAAGAACTAATTTTTAAAGAATTAAATTCTTCTAATTATCTGTTATTCCAAGTAAAATCCAGTTTGGTCATTTCCATCAAAATGTTAAAAAAAAAAAAAAAAAGACAAAAAAAGGATATTAGGAAATTAAGAAATTTTGTTTATATTTACTTATTATTTTGCTTGTTTTTAAATAATATCAATAAATACTTGAAAAAATTTTTATAACTATCAATAATTCAAATTGTATTAATTATTTTTGCTAATTTTAAATTAATATCAGTTAATGCGTGAAATAATTTTTCGAACTATCAATTATTCAAATTGTATTGAAAAATACATTAATGGCTGATTTGAAAAACGAAAATGGAAGCTTAAATGAACGATTTGCTACATTCATATGCAAATTTATTTATAAGAATAAAACAAATTTATTTGATTTGAATTATTGCAACGGATCATTTGCATGCTTCTATCAGATGTGGTACGGCAGATCGCAGGAAGGAGTGCCGCAGTTACAGCAGCGACTAGTGTTGGATGTTGTATGGGTTGTACCAGGAGATATTCGCAAATATTATTTGCAGGTCTGATTTAATTTAATTTTCGTAATTAATTATTAAAAAAGGCATATTTATATTTAAGCATAAAAAAAAAAAAAAAAAGTGAAAGAAAAAACATGAACAGTGTTTAGAATTTTTTCAAATTATTTCTTTAAAAAAATCATATTTATGGCTATTAAAAAAAATTAATTCAGTTATTGATAAGAATATTTGAAATACTAAAAAATTAAAAATTTCATTTTTGAAATAAAAAAGATTATTGTTTGCATATTCATTCTTTTTTTATGTTTAATATCATAATAATTAATAAATTATTTAACAAAAAACTAAATATGCTAAATTTTTTTTTATAAGATAGTTCTATTTTATTATTTGCGAGCATTTTTATATCTGTATTAAATTAACTATTGAAAAATTTCAATGTATTACTATGATTAAAAAAAAAAAAAGAAATTGATGAAAAAAAAGTTGAAACGTAAAAGATGTTTTAAAATTTATTTAAATTAAGTAATTTCAAAGTTTTTCGTGTCTATATTTAACAATTTTTTTTTTTTTTTTTTTTTTTTCATTTAAGGATGAATTGCGTACTGATAGATTAGAAGCTGAAGTTTATTTAAAGTGGTCAGCAAATATTGGTTTCAAAAATCGAGTAAAAATTGTGCTTGAAAATGGATATTCATGTAATGCACCTGCATGCTTACTTGTTGCATTCTCTGATATTTTTCGCAAACTTATTTCATCACAAGTAAATTTTAATTGAATTAATTAATATATGTTGTACAAATTTGTAATTGTTTAAATATTTGATCATTTCAATCTGTTTTTTTTTTAAAAAAAAAAAAATATTTCACAAATATCTTTCTTTCAAAACATTTCATAAAAGTTTCGCAGAAATTTTCACAAACATTTTGATATATGAGAACTAGTTTTTATCATATCACTAAATTCATCCTAAAATATCAAATAGACTTTATGTATTGCATAATATCAAATAGTATTCAGGATAGAAATGAAGTGATGAAATTAGAACAGAAATATGAAACAATTTAAATAAAAAAGAAATGAGCTAATTTGATTTTTGATATATTTTGATATATTGATCTGTTGCACCTGAGTAAATTATCATTAATATAGGAATTTTATACATTTATACTTGTCACAAATATTATTTATGTAATGAAAGTATTTTATAAACTAATTAAAATTTTAAATAACTATAAAAGTAATATGAGTAACTATCCTAGAAAGATTATATTTAGGCAACACCGGAAATACTTTCATCCGGTAAAGAAATCACAGTTCATTTATATGGTATGCCAAATATTACGAATGCCGGTCTCTATAACGTGGTAGCTTTCATTCAAAGTGGACAAATTAAATTTTTAGAAACTGAATTGGAGAATGTTCTAATAGCAGCTAATGATCTTCGAGTAAATACATTAAACTTAACTTAATAATAAAGAATTTAGGAATTAAAATAACACTTTTATTTTAAAAAAGAAAAAAAAAATGAAATCAGTTGACAAAGTCAAATGAATTAAATAGGCTAAACGAAGAATTGATAAAACCAATACAGATGGAACAAAATGTCTGAATTCTGAAAATATACCTTAACAAAAGATATTTAAATGATATAGAAAAAATTGTAGTGATTAAATAGAGACAAATATTCTTTTTAATAATTAAAATAAATGGAAAGCAAATCTTTCTATCCAATAAAATTATAGTTATGATTAGTAGATATAATTGTATTTGCAGTTAAATTTTTATTTAAAAAAAATTTTGACACAAAAAAAAGAAAAAAGTTTTCAGGTAACTTCATTGGTATCATTAATTTGTGAAGAAATGACTGCACGCATATTAGAAAATACATCACCACCAATTTCATTACTTTACTCTGCTATTGCTTGTCTAGCTCCGTTTGTTTAATTAATTTTTTCATTTTAAATCATATAATCAGGTATTTATCAATGTTTACCTGTTTATAGTTTCAAAGCTTCTAGCATAAAAAAAAGTCCAAAATTTATAATAAAAAAGGAAAAAATCTAATCGCTCAACGAAATTTTGTTATTATCTTAAATGAAACTATAATATTACTATCTATAAAAAAAATTATTTTATCATAACTTTTTTCTTATCATTAATTTTTATCTTACATTTAGACAATCACAGTATCGTAATATGGTTGTTGATGGTGCAGCAATAAAATTTCATGATATTCTGGCAAACCCAGAATTTTTAAAAGTATAGGGAAAAAAAAGAAATAATTTCTTTTGTATATTTTTTTGTTTGTTTTCATTATTATTTCAGAGCAATTTAAAGAAAAAAAAATTAGGAAAGTTGCCTAAATTTAAAAGAACTAATATTCTTCTTTCTCTTTCTCTCTCTCTCTTTCCCTTTTTTTAGTTATCATTCGAAATGCTTTATGCGCTTATTTCTTCACCAGTATTACAAGGACCTGAATGGGTATCAGAAATTTATGAAGCGATCATATTTTGGCTTCAAAATAATCCTGAACATATTTGTTATGCGCCAGCTCTTTTGGATAATGTTAATTTCAAGGAAATTATTCATGTGGCTGATAACGTTTGTTATTTTGTTATCTATTTCTCTCCTATTGCTTCATTTAATTTTTTTTTTTTTTTTAAAACTTCAATTATAAGGATTATTTAAAAAATGGCAGATAAATTATTAAAGATAAAGAAAATAAGGATTTAATACATGATAAGATAAAATCTTTTTTAATTTTTCTAGCCGTCAAGAAATAATGAAGAAATCATTGGATGTACCAGATTTGGACCAATTGTGCAACTCTTTTTAATGGATGCAATTTATGCCAAATTTGTGGTTTCCATTTTTTTATTTTTTGATTTTTAAACAAATATATCAATTTCACATTATGAAAAGAAAAATTTGTAATCATTTAATTTGTATGTTTGCGAAACAAAAAAAAAAAATCAATGTTATAAGTATATGATTAAAAGTTAACATTAAAAATTTAGAACAAAATAGCTACCTAAAAATTAAATTATAGGATCATTTGACATCACCACAAAATCGCAATCAATCATTATCATCGTCCATCTATACGGTGTCTGGTGCAGAAACTGCAATTGCACCAGATCCATTAAGAGGAACATTAGGATTAGCATCATCACCTCTTGGATCATATATCATTCCACCTTTTGATTCGGTATCATCTGTAACAACCAGAAGTATTAGTAATGAAACATCCGTATCAGTTGACAAAAATTGGCGTCCAGCTCAACAGCTTCCAATAGGATCTGGTAGTTCTCGTAATCGAACAGGTTATCAAAATAGCGTAATTTACCCAACCAGGAAAAGATTAGTGATAGTGGATGACAATTTTGTTTGAAATTTTAACTCAACAATCAAAGCATTTGTCTAAAAGTGGAAATGTAACAAGTGAAATGGTTCCACTCCAAAATAGCACCAAACTCTCTCTATATTACCACCAAAAGCTCTCATGATTCGATTTGTATGGTAATTACAGCACGTAATGATCCGATACTCACCTACTCAAATGTTCCTATTACTACTTCTGATGCTGCTGCTAACGATGATACTGCTGGTGCTATCGGTGGTGGTGCGGCTGGAATTGATACTACTGATTGTGGTGTTATCGATGGTGATACTATTAGAGATGGTGTCATTACTGATAGTACTATTGGTAATGGTGCTATTGATGGTACTGTTGGCGGTGGTGCTATTGGTGGTGGTAGTGGTGAACAGGAAAGATCAGGCGCCGCTATCACAAGCTTTCCAACACTAGAATCAGCTGAAATTCGAACAAGTAGCAGTCAAGAATCGGCATCAAATTTGAAACGACGACCTAAATTTGAGCAAATCCCATTACGAACTGAACCACCAAAAAGTCGCAAAGAATTACGTAAGGAACGACAGGCACGTGAAAAAACTGACACGAAGTGATTAAGAATGATCAATGAATTATTAATTTCCTATATGAATTTCAAATTTAATTCTCACCGTACTATCATAACATTTTTTCTTCATTTCCCAATGTGCTAATTATTTTAAAAGAATAAAGAAGAAAATATTTTTTCTTTCTGATTTTGCCATAAACATACTAAATTATAGGTATAATCAATCAAACTTAGAAATTATAATTGATTTCTCAGAGTAAAAAAATTTTTGAATGGTTTTAGTTGTTTAGAAGAGAAAAATGAAACAATATTTTTTTGCTCTTATCAGTTAATGCGTGAAATAATTTTTCGAACTATCAATTATTCAAATTGTATTGAAAAATACATTAATGGCTGATTTGAAAAACGAAAATGGAAGCTTAAATGAACGATTTGCTACATTCATATGCAAATTTATTTATAAGAATAAAACAAATTTATTTGATTTGAATTATTGCAACGGATCATTTGCATGCTTCTATCAGATGTGGTACGGCAGATCGCAGGAAGGAGTGCCGCAGTTACAGCAGCGACTAGTGTTGGATGTTGTATGGGTTGTACCAGGAGATATTCGCAAATATTATTTGCAGGTCTGATTTAATTTAATTTTCGTAATTAATTATTAAAAAAGGCATATTTATATTTAAGCATAAAAAAAAAAAAAAAAAAGTGAAAGAAAAAACATGAACAGTGTTTAGAATTTTTTCAAATTATTTCTTTAAAAAATCATATTTATGGCTATTAAAAAAAATTAATTCAGTTATTGATAAGAATATTTGAAATACTAAAAAATTAAAAATTTCATTTTTGAAATAAAAAAGATTATTGTTTGCATATTCATTCTTTTTTTATGTTTAATATCATAATAATTAATAAATTATTTAACAAAAAACTAAATATGCTAAATTTTTTTTTTATAAGATAGTTCTATTTTATTATTTGCGAGCATTTTTATATCTGTATTAAATTAACTATTGAAAAATTTCAATGTATTACTATGATTAAAAAAAAAAAAAGAAATTGATGAAAAAAAAGTTGAAACGTAAAAGATGTTTTAAAAATTTATTTGAAATTAAGTAATTTCAAAGTTTTTCGTGTCTATATTTAACAATTTTTTTTTTTTTTTTTTTTCATTTAAGGATGAATTGCGTACTGATAGATTAGAAGCTGAAGTTTATTTAAAGTGGTCAGCAAATATTGGTTTCAAAATCGAGTAAAAATTGTGCTTGAAAATGGATATTCATGTAATGCACCTGCATGCTTACTTGTTGCATTCTCTGATATTTTTCGCAAACTTATTTCATCACAAGTAAATTTTAATTGAATTAATTAATATATGTTGTACAAAATTTGTAATTGTTTAAATATTTGATCATTTCAATCTGTTTTTTTTTTTAAAAAAAAAAAAATATTTCACAAATATCTTTCTTTCAAAACATTTCATAAAAGTTTCGCAGAAATTTTCACAAACATTTTGATATATGAGAACTAGTTTTTATCATATCACTAAATTCATCCTAAAATATCAAATAGACTTTATGTATTGCATAATATCAAATAGTATTCAGGATAGAAATGAAGTGATGAAATTAGAACAGAAATATGAAACAATTTAAATAAAAAGAAATGAGCTAATTTGATTTTTGATATATAGAAATATGAAACAATTTAAATAAAAAAAAGAAATGAGCTAATTTGATTTTTGATATATTTTTGATATATTGATCTGTTGCACCTGAGTAAATTATCATTAATATAGGAATTTTATACATTTATACTTGTCACAAATATTATTTATGTAATGAAAGTATTTTATAAACTAATTAAAATTTTAAATAACTATAAAAGTAATATGAGTAACTATCCTAGAAAGATTATATTTAGGCAACACCGGAAATACTTTCATCCGGTAAAGAAATCACAGTTCATTTATATGGTATGCCAAATATTACGAATGCCGGTCTCTATAACGTGGTAGCTTTCATTCAAAGTGGACAAATTAAATTTTTAGAAACTGAATTGGAGAATGTTCTAATAGCAGCTAATGATCTTCGAGTAAATACATTAAACTTAACTTAATAATAAAGAATTTAGGAATTAAAATAACACTTTTATTTTAAAAAAAAAAAAAAAATGAAATCAGTTGACAAAGTCAAATGAATTAAATAGGCTAAACGAAGAATTGATAAAACCAATACAGATGGAACAAAATGTCTGAATTCTGAAAATATACCTTAACAAAAGATATTTAAATGATATAGAAAAAAATTGTAGTGATTAAATAGAGACAAATATTCTTTTTAATAATTAAAATAAATGGAAAGCAAATCTTTCTATCCAATAAAATTATAGTTATGATTAGCAGATATAATTGTATTTGCAGTTAAATTTTTATTTAAAAAAATTTTGACACAAAAAAAAGAAAAAGTTTTCAGGTAACTTCATTGGTATCATTAATTTGTGAAGAAATGACTGCACGCATATTAGAAAATACATCACCACCAATTTCATTACTTTACTCTGCTATTGCTTGTCTAGCTCCGTTTGTTTAATTAATTTTTTCATTTTAAATCATATAATCAGGTATTTATCAATGTTTACCTGTTTATAGTTTCAAAGCTTCTAGCATAAAAAAAAGTCCAAAATTTATAATAAAAAAGGAAAAAATCTAATCGCTCAACGAAATTTTGTTATTATCTTAAATGAAACTATAATATTACTATCTATAAAAAAAATTATTTTATCATAACTTTTTTCTTATCATTAATTTTTATCTTACATTTAGACAATCACAGTATCGTAATATGGTTGTTGATGGTGCAGCAATAAAATTTCATGATATTCTGGCAAACCCAGAATTTTTAAAAGTATAGGAAAAAAAAAGAAATAATTTCTTTTGTATATTTTTTTGTTTGTTTTCATTATTATTTCAGAGCAATTTAAAGAAAAAAAATTAGGAAAGTTGCCTAAATTTAAAAGAACTAATATTCTTCTTTCTCTTTCTCTCTCTCTCTTTCCCTTTTTTTAGTTATCATTCGAAATGCTTTATGCGCTTATTTCTTCACCAGTATTACAAGGACCTGAATGGGTATCAGAAATTTATGAAGCGATCATATTTTGGCTTCAAAATAATCCTGAACATATTTGTTATGCGCCAGCTCTTTTGGATAATGTTAATTTCAAGGAAATTATTCATGTGGCTGATAACGTTTGTTATTTTGTTATCTATTTCTCTCCTATTTGCTTCATTTAATTTTTTTTTTTTTTTTAAAACTTCCAATTATAAGGATTATTTAAAAAATGGCAGATAAATTATTAAAGATAAAGAAAATAAGGATTTAATACATGATAAGATAAAATTCTTTTTTAATTTTTCTAGCGTCAAGAAATAATGAAGAAATCATTGGATGTACCAGATTTGGGACCAATTGTGCAACTCTTTTTAATGGATGCAATTTATGCCAAATTTGTGGTTTCCATTTTTTTTATTTTTTGATTTTTTAAACAAATATATCAATTTCACATTATGAAAAGAAAATTTGTAATCATTTAAATTTGTATGTTTGCGAAACAAAAAAAAAAAATCAATGTATAAGTATATGATTAAAAGTTAACATTAAAAATTTAGAACAAAATAGCTACCTAAAAATTAAATTATAGATCATTTGACATCACCACAAAATCGCAATCAATCATTATCATCGTCCATCTATACGGTGTCTGGTGCAGAAACTGCAATTGCACCAGATCCATTAAGAGGAACATTAGGATTAGCATCATCACCTCTTGGATCATATATCATTCCACCTTTTGATTCGGTATCATCTGTAACAACCAGAAGTATTAGTAATGAAACATCCGTATCAGTTGACAAAAATTGGCGTCCAGCTCAACAGCTTCCAATAGGATCTGGTAGTTCTCGTAATCGAACAGGTTATCAAAATAGCGTAATTTACCCAACCCAGGAAAAGATTAGTGATAGTGGATGACAATTTTGGTTTGAAATTTTAACTCAACAATCAAAGCATTTGTCTAAAAGTGGAAATGTAACAAGTGAAATGGTTCCACTCCAAAATAGCACCAAACTCTCTCTATATTACCACCAAAAAGCTCTCATGATTCGATTTGTATGGTAATTACAGCACGTAATGATCCGATACTCACCTACTCAAATGTTCCTATTACTACTTCTGATGCTGCTGCTAACGATGATACTGCTGGTGCTATCGGTGGTGGTGCGGCTGGAATTGATACTACTGATTGTGGTGTTATCGATGGTGATACTATTAGAGATGGTGTCATTACTGATAGTACTATTGGTAATGGTGCTATTGATGGTACTGTTGGCGGTGGTGCTATTGGTGGTGGTAGTGGTGAACAGGAAAGATCAGGCGCCGCTATCACAAGCTTTCCAACACTAGAATCAGCTGAAATTCGAACAAGTAGCAGTCAAGAATCGGCATCAAATTTGAAACGACGACCTAAATTTGAGCAAATCCCATTACGAACTGAACCACCAAAAAGTCGCAAAGAATTACGTAAGGAACGACAGGCACGTGAAAAAACTGACACGAAGTGATTAAGAATGATCAATGAATTATTAATTTCCTATATGAATTTCAAATTTAATTCTCACCGTACTATCATAACATTTTTTCTTCATTTCCCAATGTGCTAATTATAATTTTAAAAGGAATAAAAAAGAAAATATTTTTTCTTTCTGATTTTGCCATAAACATACTAAATTATAGGTATAATCAATCAAACTTAGAAATTATAATTGATTTCTCAGAGTAAAAAAATTTTTGAATGGTTTTAGTTGTTTAGAAGAGAAAAATGAAACAATATTTTTTTGCTCTTATCAAAACAAAAGAAAAAAAACGTATTCACATATCATATAATGATGAATTTCACGCTGCTTAAATTGCTAAACTTTAGTTTAGCGTCTCATACAATTATAAGCATCGTAATATCCAAACGTAAGATCCAAATTAAAATTCTCATTTAAATTAATAATGATTTCTAATAAGCTAGATTAGAGAACAAATCATAATATTTGTAATTTCAATTACAGCAAAAATAATACCAAAGTAAAAATAATTCAATAATATTACTTTATGACTAAAAAATTTTAAATTTTCAAAAAAAGAAAAATTTAAGTTGAAATTTGTTGTTAAAATCAATAACTAATAAGTCAAGCCAAATGTACATGTGTACATGTCGAAATAACTATCAATTTGAATATTTTAACATTTTGTTTCAAATTCTGGCAATTTCAAAATGAAATCTGACATCACTTTATCAACAAATTAATTAATGCTTTCTTTTTTTTTTCGTCATCAAATTTTATTTCGCCAAAAGTAATCATTGCAAGCTATCATTTTAGCTTTCAATTGTTGCGTATACTAATGCTAAGTGATGAAATGATTAGTTCGTTTTATTTTATTTTATTTTTTATTATTTTTTCATATTTATTTCTGCTAGCAATTTCTTCCAATTTTCGAAATTAAACTTAAGCTACCTGCATAGAAAGCCACAATCATCGTTATCACCATCATCATCCATCTGAATAAGAGATGGTGTCATTACTGGTAGTACTATTGGCAATGGTGCTGTCGTGAAACCTCAAACTTGGGTAATTAAACCTTTATTTAACATGAAGCAAATAATAGCGCTTTATACATATCGTACGGATGCTACACCGATTAACGAACGCGTAACGAAAGATATAATTATAAAAACATTAAAATGATATCAAAATCATCCCAAAATGCAGAATGAACCACCGTATGGAGGACGATGGTTTATATGCAGAACTGAGCTGACCAGATATCCGGCAGAGGATATTTAACTGATGTGAAACAAAGATTGCTAATAAAGGGTTTTGCTAACAAAGGGTTTGCTAACGAAGGGTTTGCTAACAAAGGGTTTTTGTTGTGTGAGGAAAAGAATCAGATAAGAGGAATTTGTTAGTTTTGGATATAATAATTTAAATATTTCGTCTTTCACGACACTCCCGATCAGAAAGGTGGGTAATGCGTGGGGTTTATAAGAAAGTGGGGTTGTTTACTTCTATTGATCTGTTTTTGATCGTGTAAATCTCTACAGGTTTCTGATGATGGTGCGGTGATAGTTGTTTGGTCCTCCTTTAATCGAGATTGTCGTTTTGTATTGCTCCTAGTTCGCATCGCAATAGGTTCCTGGAGCTCCTCAGTGTTCTGTTCGGTTTCCGGAATTTTCATATTTTCTTTCTTATTAGGTTCAAGATGAATTTCTTCATCATTAACTCGAGAGGATACAAGACATTTATTGGACGATCGAGAAGTTTCCCAGTGGGAGTTTCCACCTAAACGTTCCTAACTTTACCGTCTTTATCGATTTTGATGTCCTTGATCCGTAATAATTTCCACATTCCTCTTGGAATTCCCGATTCATTTAAGAGTACAATCTCTCCCTTTCTTGGAGTTCTTTTTTGTGCTCCTTTGGATGAGGTAATTCCCTTTGCGTGCGTTCTCTGAGGCTAGTTAAATATTCGGTTCTCCAGATTTCCCAAAAAACATTGAGAGTTTTAAGGGTACTTTCCCAGTGTCTCACGAGTTTTTCTCTGGTATCTAGTCTATAAGGGGTGAATTCTTCCTGCCTGCTATAAACTTCATTTATAGGTAGATGGAGCGAAGCGTTAGGCAAAATAAAATCAATTGGACGTATAATGACGCAATCGTCAAAATTAGCGTAAGTTAGTGGTCGGGTATTAAGTATACCTTCAACGTCTGCAATTAATGTTACCAATTCCCTTTCCGCTAGGAATTTTCTGCCAATGGCTCTTCTTAGCGCATTTTTCGTTAACCAATTAATCTCTCGTAGATTCCTCCTTGCCACGGAGCTTTGGTATAATATTTTTCCAAGTCATTCCTCCCTTTGCTAAGAAGTTGGAGACTTTGACTTGTGTCATAAGAGTATTGATTGTGTCATAAGAGATCTGAAAGCCTGAATTGAGTGGCATTGTCACTCAGAATTAGCTCAGGACACCCTCGTCTCGCAACAAATCTTCGGATAGCATGCAAAAAGGTTTCTGCGGATTGGTCTTCTGCTAATTCGAGATGTATGGCTCTTGTTGTAAAGCATGTAAATAATATTACCCACCTTTTTGTTGACACGCTATTGCCCTTGATTAAAAGAGAGCCAAAATAATCCACGCCAACATGTGCGAAGGCTCTAGATCGATTGACACGAGTTTCCGGGAGACTTACCATTGGTGGTAATTTAAACGATCTGGAGTTCCAACGTTTACAGATTCGACATCTGTTTATTATTCGCTTTACTTCAGTCCTGCCTTTGGGAATCCAAAATCTACTCCTTAATTCTGAAAGTATATGGGCGATACCTGAATGACATAGATTTTCATGTTGGTGTAGTATAAGGAGTTCTGTTATTGAGTTGTTCCGAGGGAGATAGATAGGATATTTGCTAGTTTCAGGCAGTTCCGAGTTCACGAGTCGGCTAGTAGATCTCCATAGTTTATCATCGTGAAAAAATTCGGTGTGGAATAAATTCCACTTGTTTATTTCGTCGTCATTGATTTCTTCAGATTGTGCTTGTCTAATTAACAGCCATTCTGACACTTTGTAATCTTCAGCTGTAAATCGATTTCTTTCGATTGAAACAGACTGTAGCCATGATAATCTGCCTTTAGTTGTTAATCGAATGAATTTAAGGATCCACGCTGTTGTTCGTAACAGTCTTAGCCATTTGCTAAACGTTTGCTATCAATAAATTGAAAGTTATGATCCTTGCATATTCGCGAGACTTCTGATATAGTGATTTCTTCTGGTTCGTCATTGTTGGCAAATTCGTATTCCCATTATGGCCAACTGATTTCTCCTTTTACTAGCCACGACGGTCCATGCCACCATGGTGTAAAACTTCTAAGTTGTTTTGGATTAAGACCTCTAGTTGCCACGTCTACAGGGTTATCTTCTGATGGAATATAACGAAAGATAAATTTCGTTTTACGTATTTCCTCGACTCGGTTTTGAACAAATCTTGGTAATAGGTTGGAATGGTTTCTTATCCAATATAAAGCACATTTAGAATCCGACCATAAAATTATCCTTGTATTGACGATATCCAGCTGTGTCATGACAAATTGCGCTGCTCGCGTTCCGATTAGTATGGCCATTAGCTCTAGACGCGGTATTGTCATACCTTTAATAGGAGCAATGCGAGATTTTGCAAAAATGAGGCGATGACTTTGTTTCTTGCATATCCTGACTCACTAAATACACTGCTGCTGAATATGCTACGCTTGAAGAATCAGTAAATACATGTATTCCAATTAAATCTGTAGAAGTTGTTACAAATCGCGGTAAGTCTTTTACGACCGTTGCCCATTCAGCAATAAGAAATTTCCATTGCTTATGGTCTTGCTCATCTAATATCTGATCTCACGAATTATTCTTTTTCCATAAATTTTGCAAGAAATATTTTAAATCTTACCATTATTGGAACTAAAAATCCTAGTGGATCATATTGTGATGCAGCAAACTGTAAGATCGTTCTTTTTGTTAGTTCTCAATCATTCCATGGATTTAATTTTATCTGAATGACGTCTTGACAGGGATTCTATGAGATGCCGAGGATTTTCGTATTTTTTCTTATTGCTCGATCTTGCTGCGGCAGTTCTGCATAAAATTCTTCGTCGTTAGATAAGAACTCTCTTAGATTCATTGAGGCTTCATTGAAGATGGATTTCATTTCCGCATATTTTTCTAATGCGTCCTGCGTTCCGTTTGATGACACAATAACGTTGTCCACATAAAGATTTTTCTTTATTTCTGCGGCTAATTCACTAACGTGGTTTTCCAAATGATAATTCAGGGTAGCAGATAGTAAAAAGGGGGATGATATTACTCCAAACGGGATTCTTCTAAAACGGTAACATTTTATATTCTCGTTGGATACACTTCCTTCTACTTCCTTTAGCCAAAGGAAGCGAGTACAATTTCTCTCTGAAGGTGTAACTGTATTTGTAAGAATGCCTTTTCAATGTCAGCTGTGATTACCCCTTTCATCATTCTAAAGCGTAATAATACTCCCACAAGATCTGGAGGTTAATTGATCCACGATATAATACTTCATTTAAACTTTTCATTCCTTTTATGTGCGCTGAAGCATCATAAACAATCCTTAACTTAGTGGTAGTTTTACCTGGATTACGAACATCATGATGTGGCAGGTAATGAATAATTCCATCTTGATTCATTTGTGATTGTACTTCTTCGATTATGCCAGATTGTAGTTGATCTTGCATTACTTTATCATATTCTTGTAATTCCTCTTTATGGGACTGAAGTCGTGCTATTAGCATTCGCAAACGGCTGACGCATAATCCATAATTATCGCTCAATTTGCCTTTGCATGGTTTCCATGGCCAACGTACTTCGTATCTTCCATTTTGTTTAGTGATACTCTTCTTAAATTGTTCCAGTGCTTGTTCATCATCTTGTGTATCAGATCGATCTTGGATGCCAATACAGTCTAACTTCCAAATTGATCTATATCTGGGGCACGGTTTTCTTGAGATGTCTTCGTTGCAAAGATCTGGTGATGGCACAATTCATTTGTATAACCGCTTCCTGCTATGATAGGTCCAACTTTGCTGTTCAGTAAAGTGAATCCTGACTTTAGTTGCTGAGCGTTTTCCATATGAATAAAGTTGAAGAAATAGTCAGCTCCTATAACTATGTCAGGTTGTTTCTTGTAACTTTTAAGATGGTAATTCTCACCTTTGTCTACCACTTCCATCACTTGAAGATCGTTTGTCAAATAATCCATTACAGTGGCTTGGATAGTCACTTGATCGGAGTTTTCCGTTTTCACTCCAATTTGTGTTTGAGTTGTGCGGCATACTCGAGGAGTCCTATTGCCAAAGGAAGAGATCTTATATTCTTCTTCATCAGTTTCTAGGAGATTTAGTCGATGAGCTAGCCTTTGTGAGATAAAGGTCGCATCTGCGCCGACGTCAAACAGTACTAAAGCTTGTACTTGATGTTTCAGGTTTATCAGGATTAAAGACATTAATTTCTCTACATAAAAGTAGTACTCATTTCTTTTCAACTTTCTTCAACTCTCCAGAATCACGAGTCTTAGTGGTACAAAGGGCGCTATTGTGGGATTTTTTGCAATAAAAACAACTTGCTCTTTTTATGCAGTTGAGTTCGTTGTGTCCAGATTTAAAACAATTAGAGCAAACATTGATTTCCTTCAATCGATCAATTCGCTGCTCCACTGTAGAATATATGTGACACTTGCTATCCCAGTGATTGTTATTGCAGAAGATACAGGGTCTCCTTTTCTTTTTTGTCGACCAATTGGATTCTCTTGATTTAGCTGGTTTCTTTCGGCTGAAGCCGTTCCTCTTGTTTTGCTTTAATTGTTTTATTGCAATCAATGCTGAATTTTCTGGAATGCTTGCGTTAGGATGACGTTTAATTAAATTTTTACGACTGACGTTATCCAAGTATTGCCATTCATTACCTGGTCGTTTCTATTAATTATCTTCCTGAGAAGCTGTCGAAGTTTTGTTACGGACCACTGGCCATCTTCTTCTTTTTGTTGATAAACCTGGTTTAATATCCAGTTTGGCAATTTGGATTCTATTATCGTTTCGATGGTAGGTTGCTCTACGTTTTCGCCAATTGCTTCTAACTGCCTTAGAACTCTCTCCATTTCTTCGATTATTGTTTTCCAGTCTCGGTTGTTTCGTTTTTGTAGATATGAGTTCATTGTAAAGTAATTTTCTTATAGTGGAAACACTGTCGCGGATTTTAATATCGCGATCTAAAAATATGAGTTGCAAATTGTAGTAAAGATATCTACGTAATTTCCGCAAATAATGCTTATACTTCGGACTCTTTGTTTCCAAATTTATGCTTCTACATATTGAAACAATTTACATCGTTCTTTGTTAGCAATCCTTACAATCATGAGGATATCTACATTGTTCTTTGTTAGCTATCATAATCATGCGGTTATCTAATAAGCTCTTTATTAGCAACTGGTGCCCATGCAAGCACCTCCTCTCCTTTGTTTGGATCATTGTCTAACATCAATGTAGATTTTATAACCATACTATTGTCAATTAGATCAGTTTTAAAAATCATCCAATCCTCCGAATCAGTTTATTCAATTGTTGCCCAAATATTTAGCTGGCATCCAACACATCTCCCTGACATCAAACTTCTCCCCCGAATAACAATTTAACCAAATCATAAAGGTTTGTTTCCAAAAACATTTTTTGCTTCCACTACAATTTTGGTGCCACGAGCCGGGACATGTCCGACAGTATAAGAAAAGGAAGCGAATTATCGAAGTCGAGAACTCTAGAACTTCTTAAAGAAGCAAGTGAACTCGATCTGACCTCCCCGTCTCAAACACTATCACGAGGGGAACTTCAGCATCAATACGAAATTAAATTGCGAATCGTCAAGGAGAAGATCGCACATCTCGAATATTATGCTGGGTTACTCGAAACAGCTAATCAAAATTGGCTGGATAATATTCAGAGCTTGACAATAGCAACGAGGAGAAAGGAAGAGGAGACGAAATACGCCAATATGGTTGACGATCCACAAGGTATTTTAAGTTTAATCACTAGAACAAGAGAAACTATTATTACCCTTAAAATACATACTGATGAATATTGCTCGGTACTACAACATTTAAAACAAGAAGAGGTCAAAGAATCATTTCCAAAGAATAGTATGATTCACACAAATCAAGCAGAAATAAAACTTCCTCAATTACCACTAATAACGTTTAGTGGGGATCCAAAATTGTGGAGGCAATTTTGGTGTAGTTTCAAGGCAGCAGTCCATGAGCAAAGCATCCCAGATATTCAAAAGTTAAACTATCTGATATCATGTCTTAAAGGAGATGCTTTGTTATCTGTAAGAGGTTATGATATAGCGCCAGAAAACTACGATGTTATAATAGGTTTACTAAAAGAGAAATATGGTAAACCTTTCCTTATAAAGAAATCACTCTACAACGAGTTGAATACCATCAAAAAAAATGACCGAGAGTGGAAAGCAACCATAGAAGCCATGGAGAGAACATTTCGACAACTGGAAGCTATAGGTGAAAATTTAGAGCATTCAAGCATCGAAATTACAATTGAAAATAAACTACCAGCGTGGATAATTGATAAATTATACCAATTGAAAGAGGATTCGACGAGTTGGTCAGTTAAGGATATCCGGCAGTACCTGACAAAACTAGTTCTAAGAAATGAAGAAGTTGCTAGAAGTCAAGCAGACACAAGGGAGAAGAAAACAAACAAAAATAATGTTAGAGGCGAAACGTCAGCTTTCGCCACAATCAACCAAACAAAGGGAGATAATACAATCAAATCAAAAAAGGTTCCAGGAAAAATTTCTATAAATGGGAAAAGGAAACCATGCGTATTTTGCAATAAGGACCACTGGAACAATGAATGTAACATCTATCCCACTCTCAAACTCCGGATGGAACGTTTGAGAGAAATCACTGCATGTTTCAAATGTTTACGAAAAGGACATGCAACAAGTGATTGTAAAAAAGGGAAACCTTTGTGTTTCCATTGTAAAAGTCCACACAATACAGCACTGTGTCCCAACAACTACAAGGAACTCACGCAAGCAGTGGATTCCAACAAAGAAAGGTTGGGTTCAGTCACAATCGCTAACTCCATTACCGAAAAAGGAAATCAATGGAAAAAGCGAACCTTACTGTTATGTAAGGAAATAAATGTAACCAATCCAAATCGCCCAAAAATCCAACAAAAGGCTTTAATTCTATTCGATATTGGTTCTCAATTATCGTTCATATCAAAGGATTTGGCTTATCGATTGAATCTACAAGAAACTAACGAGATGGAAATAAAAATTGCTTCATTTGGTGATAAGACGCCAAAAACGTGTATCACTACTAAAACTGAAATCGGAGTAAAAATTGGAAATAAAGAAATAATCCGATTAGATGTAATAACAGTTAACCACTTGACGAATGAATTGCAAGTAGTTAATCTAAACAAAAAGGAATTGTTGATGATAGACAAACGAAATCAGTTTAGTAATTTCAAAAACAAATGGAAACAACCGGACATACTCATAGGTGCGGATCACTTCTTCAAGTTTATCCAGTTTGACCAAGCAGAGAACTTAAAATCAGGATTTTCATTGATCCATACAAAGGTTGGACCTATAATAGCTGGAAGTGGGTATATAAATGAAATACACGACAGTATTTCAGAAACCACATCAGTAAGTCCGATTTCTCAAGTCAATGCCGTCAATATTCCAGACTTAGATCACTTTTGGAAACTGGAATAATGGGTATACAAGACAAATAAACTCTGACAATGATGAAAAAGCATTGCAGCAATTTAAACAAACTATCACTAGGGACAAGGGAAGATATCAAGTTTGTTGGCCTTGGAAAGATTCAAAGAACAAACTAAGCGATAATTTCGGACTTTGCCTTGGAAGATTAAAGTCGTTAATTAGGAGGCTTCAAATGAAACCTCAATTACTAAGTCGATACAATCAAACTATTGAAGAACAACTCAATTCCAATATAATTGAGAAAGTGTCATCGGAAATGAATGAAGTTGGTATTATTCATTATCTGCCTCATCACGAAGTAATAACACCAAATAAAACCACGACAAATCTGAGATAGTTTATGATGCATCAGCTCATTGTAAAGGAATGAAAAGTTTAAATGATGTTTTATATCGGGGACCAATAACACTCCTGATTTGGTTGGAGTTTTGCTACGTTTCCGTACAATGAAAAATGTAATAATAGCAGACGTAGAAAAGGCGTTCTTGCAAATAGAATTGCATCCAACAGATAGAAACTGCACTCGATTTCTTTGGTTGAAAGACATTCGAAGTCCAGTTAACGAAGAAAACGTAAGTTGTTACCGTTTCCAACGAGTTCCATTTGGAATTGTATCATCTCCATTTTTATTGTCCGCTACACTCAATTATCATTTGGAAACTTGTAAAAGCAAAATCGCACTCGAGTTAAGGAAAAATCTCTATGTCGATAACATTATAATACCAACCAAAGGAACCAACGAAGCTCTTTCCAATTATAAGGAAATTAAAATTATATTCAATGAAGCATCAATGAATGTACGGGAATTTCTCTCTAACGACCAAGAAGTCAATGAAAAACTTCCGGTACAAGATCGAGCAGAGGTAAGTTCAATTAAAAAAATTCTAGGTCTCAATTGGTACCACAACAAGATATCATTCAAGTAACGTTAAAACCATGGTTTGGTAAGAAATTAACTAAAAGAATTGTATTGCAATTCGTAGCCTCACAATATGACCCACCAGGATTCATAGTTCCTATACTGATAAGATTCAAATTGTTTCTCCCAAACTTTGTGGAAAAAGAACCTTTCATGGGATCAAACTATAAGTGAGGAAGATGAAACCACGTGGAAATTACTCACGAACGAATGGCCAAAGAAACTAAAGGATCTACCAAGATTCACAACAAATTGTTCCGAGCAAGTACAATTTCATGTTTTTACTGACGCATCAACTGCTGCATACTCAGCAGCTTTATACATTCGAACTCAAGAAAGAGAAGTATTCTTAGTGTTTGCTAAATCCCGAATTGCGCCAATTAAAGGAATGTCAATACCTCGATTAGAATTACTGGCAATACTCATCGGAGTGAGAATGGTACAATTCGTATTAAAACAAAAAGAGCTTGAGGACGTGATAACAATTTTATGGTCCGATTCTCAATGTGCGCTTCATTGGGTTCACAATAGTTCCCGTTTACTACCAACGTTCATACAAAATAGGGTAGAAGAAATACGAAAGGCGAAAATCCATTTTAGATATATCCCAAGTGAACAAAACCCAGCTGATATAGCTACAAAAGGAATCTCTCCGAATAAACTAAAAGGATATGATCTTTGGTGGAAAGGACCAAAGTGGTTAACAGAAAACGAATCAAAATGGCCACAGTGGAAATACAATTACAATGAGGATTACCAGGATGAAGAAATTGTGGCCCACATCACAGAACCAATTATCATAAACAAACATTTCGGAATCTTAGATGCTAGTCGTTTTAGCAAATGGTCAAGATTAATAAGAACAACTGGTTGGGTTCTGAAATTCATAAGATTAACAATGAAAAGGGAAATTCCTTGGCTAAAGATGGCAACGAAAGAAAAGAATATATTGACAACACAGGATTACGAGTTGTCAGAAATTGTGCTATTCAAACAAGCACAGTCAGAAGGAGTTACCAAAGATGAAATAATCAAATGGAATTTGTTCTATGATAACGAACTATGGAGATACAAAAGCCGCGTAGTTAACTCTGAAATGAAAGAGAGTAACTTACACCCAATATATCTCCCGAGACACAACACCATAACTGAACTCTTTATTCAGCAACGACATGAACAACTGTATCATGCTGGAATTGCTCATACACTCTCAAATCTGAGATCGACGATATGGATCCCAAAAGGTAGAACGGAAGTCAAACGAATCTTGAATAAGTGCATGAAGTGCAGACGCTGGACAACTAAACCATTCAAATTACCAACTATGGCTGATCTTCCAGCATCTCGGACCACAAGATCAAGACCCTTTGCGCGAGTAGGACTAGACTATTTAGGTCCTGTGAATATCAGGAGTGATAATGGGCTAACAAAAAGATGGGTAGCACTATTCACATGTTTCACAACAAGAGCTGTACATCTAGAAGTAGTAGAAACTCTTTCAGCCGAAAGCTTTTTACATGTTTTCAGAAGATTTACAGCAAGACGAGGCTTTCCAGAATTAATCTTAAGCGACAACGCTGGTCAATTCCAGTTAATTTTTAAAATCATTGTGAAACAACAATTAAATGAATTCCTAGCGGAAAGGAAAATGATCTGGAAAAATATAATACCAAAGGCGCCTTGGAACGGAGGAGTATATGAGCGACTTATTGGGTTAACAAAAAGGGCAATGAAAAGAGCCATCGGCAGAAAGTTATTATGGGAACGGGAATTGATTACGCTAGTAGCGGAAGTGGAAAGTATTTTGAATACTCGACCACTAACTTACGTAAATTTTGATGATTGTATCATATTGCGTCCAATTGACTTTATACTACGAATGCGCATCTAATCATGCCTGCTAAAAACAAGAATGAAATGGATGATTTTATCCCTCATAAATTGGATTCGAGAGAAAAACTCATTCAATACTGGTCAAATACACTAAAGGCCCTCGATGCCTTCTGGGAAATATGGAAAGAGGAATATTTAAATACTCTTAAAGAAAGAGCACAAAGGGAACACTCTTCTCCGAGAGATGTAGTAAAAAGAACTCCCCACGAGGGAGAGATTGTGTTACTAAATGAACCAGAAATTCCCCGTGGCATGTGGAAACTAGCCAGAATAAGAGAAATCAAAACAGGAAAGGATGGAGAAGTGAGAAGTGTCTCGATAGAATTACCGAAAGGAAAAATACTCAACAGACCGGTGAATATGTTATACCCACTGGAAGTCAAAGGTGAGGAAATTGACCCTCAACCAACAATGTTTAACAAATCAGTGCAAAATGTCAATGAACAAGAACCAATTGCTCTACGAACTAGAAGCGCTATAAGGCGAAGCAATCAACCAAAGCTGTCCAACGAACTAAAGCATTTAGCTCCTTCGGTCGGGAGTGTCGCGGATTTTAATATCGCGATCTAAAAATATGAGTTGCAAATTGTAGTAAAGATATCTACGTAATTTCCGCAAATAATGCTTATACTTCGGACTCTTTGTTTCCAAATTTATGCTTCTACATATTGAAACAATTTACATCGTTCTTTGTTAGCAATCCTTACAATCATGAGGATATCTACATTGTTCTTTGTTAGCTATCATAATCATGCGGTTATCTAATAAGCTCTTTATTAGCAACTGGTGCCCATGCAAGCACCTCCTCTCCTTTGTTTGGATCATTGTCTAACATCAATGTAGATTTTATAACCATACTATTGTCAATTAGATCAGTTTAAAAAATCATCCAATCCTCCGAATCAGTTTATTCAATTGTTGCCCAAATATTTAGCTGGCATCCAACACATCTCCCTGACATCAAACTTCTCCCCCGAATAACAATTTAACCAAATCATAAAGGTTGTTTCCAAAAACATTTTTGCTTCCACTACAAACACGACCAAATTTCTCCACTAATAATTCTCTTATAATTCTATAGTTTTCAGGTGCCCTATCGTAACCTCTTACTAGCTGCAGGGCGTTTCCTCTTAAACAAGAAACCAAGTAATTTAATTTTTAGATATCTGGTATGTTTTGAGAGTGTACGGAGGCTTCGAAACTACTCCAGAATTCTCTCCATGTTTTAGGGTCTCCACTAAACGTTGGTGACGACAATTGTGTTAAATTTACTACTGGACGACATTCAGTTAAGCTAGGTTCTTTAATTTGTGCTAGACGTTTAAGGGCTAACTCTGTATCATCCTTGTACATAGATAAGGTTATAATGGTATCCGTACCTATGTTAATTAATTTTAAAATACCTCTATCGTCGTTTGCCATTTGTTCGTATTTTTCTTCTTCTTTTTTCTTTTGCGACATTGGGGCTAGTTGAATGTGTTCCAACCATTTGTCGTTGATCTTCTCAAGAGTGCCAACGTATTTTTCGAGGCGCATCAACTTTTCTTTGATGATCCTTGCCCTTGCTTCGTATTGCTGGCACAATACTTCTACTGTCGCTTTTTGGTCTAACGGAGTTAGATCCATTTGTTGTATTTCATCGAGGAGTCCCTCGAGATTCGCTTTTACTGGTGTAGCTTGAACAATTATACTAGCTGACATACCTCACCTCGGGCACCAAAATTATTCTTTGTCGTGAAACCTCAAACTCAAACTTGGGTAATTAAACCTTTATTTAACATGAGGCAAATAATAGCGCTTTATACATATCGTACGGATGCTACACCGATTAACAAACGCGTAACGAAAGATATAATTATAAAACATTAAAATGATATCAAAATCATCCCAAAATGCAGAATGAACCACCGTATGGAGGACGATGGTTTATATGCAGAACTGAGCTGACCAGATATCCGGCAGAGGATATTTAACTGATGTGAAACAAAGATTGCTAATAAAGGGTTATGCTAACAAAGGGTTTGCTAACGAAGGGTTTGCTAAAAGGGTTTTTTGTGTGAGGAAAAGGAATTAGATAAGAGGAATTTGTTAGTTTTGGATATAATAATTTAAATATTTCGTCTTTCACGACAGGTGCTATTGATGGTACTGTTGGCGGTGGTGCTATTGGTGGCGGTAGTGGTGAACAGGAAAGATCAGGCGCCGCTATCACAAGCTTTCCAACACTAGAATCAGCTGAAATTCGAACAAGTAGCAGTCAAGAATCGGCATCAAATTTGAAACGACGACCTAAATTTGAGCAAATCTCATTATGAATTGAACCACCAAAAAGTCGCAAAGAATTACGCAAGAAACGACAGGCATGTGAAAAAACTGACGCAAAGTGATTAAAAATGATCAATAAATTATTAATTTCTTATATGGATTTCATGCAACTGCATATTTTGTTACGATCTCTAAAAGGCATTAGCTATATTTTTATCTAAAATTAGACCAATGATCATGAATACATACACTATGAAAACGTAGAAATCGTAATGTTTACTAAAAGTATCCAATATTGAATTAGACAACAGCGTTTTCCCTAATATTTAATAATGTTTTCAAAGAAGGCCAAATACAAATCTGTTCCAAATTCCAGTATCAGATGAATGTTTTAATATGTCGAGCAGGAAGAAGTAAGTTAACTTTTAATTTAGTTTTACTAACAAATGATGTGAAATTAAAGAGTAAGACAAATTAAAGAGTCCATTGCAGTAGTATGAGTGGCCATCTTGATATATGTGAATTGTATCGCTGATCATCAGTTCATCTTTCAACCAGTCAATCAGTCTTGATGTATTACGGGAGCTCTGTCCTTAAATACAAATTGGTTCCCAGTTTTCCTACTTCTTCCATTTAAATTGGAATTAAAATCGTGCTCCATAATATAATTGTAAGCTCAGTGGAATATATTGTGAAGTTTGTGTTTGCATCGTTATCATATACAGAGCCGACACATTGCTATCTCACTCTAAGCTCTAAGCACCATTATTTTTTGAAACTGATCCAACCAGACCTACCAAGGTAATCATTCGAGGAGACTCACAATGTGATACCTCTTATCTCTCCCTTTCTCTCCTCTATCCTTTTTATTCGTCAAAAACTTCGATGTTCACTGAAAACACACTACGCGACCTATTTAATCTTATTCCTGCTTTCATCTGCTTTTGTATAACCTATCGAGGTACCTACAATCGCGGATAAGCATGAAAGATATAAAGTGTATTCGACCATTTTCCTTATAGAAATTCTTAGAAGACAAGAACTCATTCAGTAAAGAAAAGAGTTCAAGAAAATTAGACACTGATCCCGTGAGTGCAGGAACTGCTTCGCAGGAAGTTTCATTACTTTATAGTATTCTTAGAATTCTTAGAAGAAAAAAACTCATTTTACTGAGTCAAATTCAGCCGTCACTCTTGAAGTGTCTTTTATCGATCAGTGTATCGTCGGTTTTCGTAGAATTGTACTGTACATTCGTAGAATGTATGTTAGCTAATATGCCCGGAATAAAGCAATACTCAATCAACCATTCTCCAACCAATGTTTTTAATTTCTAGAGGTGATTTTATGGATCAAAAATTGTCTTAATGAGAATGTTTTCGTATAATTTGAAAGTTTTCCTAAAGATATTAGCTGGCGTTAAATTTTATTGCCGAGATCGTTCCAAGCAGATTAATAATTACTTTTTGTATAGTCGATTCATGATTTTTGTATATTTTCTCAAGTTGAAATGATTTCTTCGTTATTCTGAATGGTAAGGTTTAAGACTATATTAATCATACATCTAATTATTTTTTTCATTAGCAATACGTACCGCTTTTCTTTTCATTAGAAGGCGATCCGCTTTTTTTCTCATTCGCTTTCATCGGCATCCTCTACTATCCACACACCTAATTATTTGCAGTATTTGAATATGTAATATAATACGTGAAATTCTTGAATAGATTTTGCTAATGTTTGTTCCGCTCTCAAAATTAAAAAGTATTTGCGATTTTATTGTCTCTTCCACAGCATCCTTCAAAAAATTATGTTTTTGACCCTCGTTCAGTTATTTATTTATGTACAAATTTGTAATGAACTTGATAATTCACAAATTAGCGATTACACAATTATCATTCATTTCTTCTGTCGAAATAATATCGAAGCTAAATTATATTTACATATAGTAGTAGTGATTGCAGACTTCAATAAAGGCAATGTATTTTTATTTTCTATGGCCTAAAATCTTAAAGCGGTTTTGGCAACTTTTATTCTAACGGAATTCTAACGAAATTCTAAAAGATTCTGTTATTCTAACAGGGAAGTACCACTTGAATTAATGTAAATGATGAGGCAATATCTTACTACATTCAAAGTAAAAATTTACTACCTTCAAGGTAGAGAAAATAATAACTGTTTTTAATCTTTCATACAAATTTTCGACTTTTCAAAAATTACAAAAATGTAGTCAAGGGTGAGTTCATCCTGAAATATTCAGTAAGTGTTAAAATCAATGCAAGAATATTTCTTTCACATTATTCACATGAAGTGAATGCTAATATATATATATATATATTGTAAAATTCAAAGGTCGAACTTTGCTGAAGAGCAGTGATGAAGGAAGCTAGTGCAGGTTGGAGAAGTGAGAGGAAGAGAAAGACAGAGATAGCGAGAAAGAGGAAGAGAGAAAGAGAGAGAGAGAGAGAGAGATTTTGTTATAAAAAAACAACTCTGCTTGATGGAATTTCATTAATTTGCTATTGTCAGCATATTTCAACAATTCGTTTTCTACCATTATGGTACCAGAATTGCACTCGTTATTCTTCCTAACAAATTTGTTCAAGTACAAAAAAATTTATTATTTTATATTTGTATATTTCATTTCATGTGCATTATTTATTGTAATAATACCTCATGAACTTGCTTAATGAACAGTGATTTCCTTTGATATATTAATAAACAAAGTGGTATAAAGCATCCGTCAATAGCATACAGAGGCGTAAGTGGTAGTGTGATAGAGGTAAGGAAACTTGTCTCTACATTTTAAAAAAGTATTAATTTATGACAGAATGAAGAACTGTAAATTCCTTGAATTTTACTTTGTTTATTTTTTATTACATCGGTATGTTCGTTATAATTTCGCAAGCTATTGCTTTTTTAACTTTGTTAGAACGTCATTTTTAGTGGTTTTCATGGTCGTATTGAATCTAATAAGGTTGGTATTCTGGGGTTTTCAGGCTATTTTTGATAGTTTAAAATTGTTAAGGAAGGAATAATTTTTTTTTTTTTAAAGTTCTCTTGGCTATCTTTTTTGTTGATGACTATTTGTGGTTTGTTTTAATGGTTGAATATTTCTAATGCATTTTAATATATGAGTATTTAAAAAATATTTGTGAATTTTTATTTTTAATCTCAGAAATAATACTAACTATAATGAATAAGATTCTGAGCCTTATATTCAGTAATCTGAATTGTGATTAGTTGTACGAAACATAACAACTTTTGTTATGGATTTCGGTATTAGCAGATTAGTGAGACATATCAGCTATTTTCGCGATCTATCGATTTTCAATGCGATTAAATTTAGCATGGCGAGGACACTCCACCGTTACGCCCACATTTTAAAAATTAATCAACATTGGGATGTATTGTACAGATATTGTGCATCATCTGTGTATGAATGCACAAGTGCGTCAACCTCTAAATTTAAATAATTTGCAACAAATGACTGAAATTTTACTATCAGTATTTCATTAACCGATTCAGACAAATTAACTATCCAAACTCTCTCCTGTAATAGCGCCATTAGACACTAGTCTAGCTGCGAATAAATTATATATTCATCCAAAACGAGCCCATTAAGCATTACTCATCTGCGTATAAGTAAGCATTCACAACTTTCGCAGTTCATTTTGTAAATGCACAAAGATTTAATAAAGCATATGCAACTGTATGACTGAAATGTTTGAAGAAGAAATGGCTGATATCGTATGACAAACTAGTCATGAAGTGAAATAATCACCAGTAAGTGATACGGAATCGGAATACGTCGAAAAGGACTATTTTATACTCTGCGTGTTATGCAAATGTTTTCTAATTGCTTCCTATTTCTTGTTTATGTGCTGAATTCGGAGCATTTTCGAGGAATCTTAGTGAACGATCTTTTGAACCACTACCGAACTCAAACTTTATTCATATTTCCTATTTTTTCAAGAATTATGTAAGCAACTTTTAGCAGCGATTCATAATCATTTTCTAATTGATTGTAGCAATCGATTTGTTTTATTCAGCAAAGCGAATGTACTGTCACTTATTCATCAGTCTTGTACGTAGACTTCCTTAATGAATATTGGTTAATTTTTCTGTAGGACTCACTACCTTTACCGATTGTATCGTTTATTTTCTCCTCTCCTGCTCGCACAGGCTTTTTTCTCTATCCAATACCAAAATCTGGTTTTGCAAATTTTCTAATCAAGTATGCGAAAATTACCGCAGTAGGAATAGTAACAGTAGCAAGCAATCTATCCATACTCATTAAAACTGGAATTTTTGGACCACCATCGTCTGGCATGTCATTTTGATTGCGCTACATTTGTTTTAATTTTTGATGAGAATGCATTTATAGCTTCATCACAATGATAAAGATTCCTGCATTATCAAACAAGTTTTTATAAACTCTAAGTTTAGAGATAGCAATTATTGATCGATGGCCAAATCAATACCCTTGTTTAAGATATCATATTTTTCAAAATTTATGCAATATTTAACATCAAATCCAGGAAGTCTTTGTTCTTCCGTTTGATCAAACCACCTGCTATCTTAGAAAGTTTTGGATTTGAGAAAATGAGAAGTTTCTAAATATCACGATGCATAAAGTGCATATAATTTGATAAAATTAATTGTATCTCTTACATCTTCCTCAGTTAATCGACATTCCACTTTTTCCCTCCTTTTTAGATTTTGGATACATCTATTTGTAATCATTTAAGAGTTGCTATTTGTTTTGCAGAATTAATTATTAAATTGACCATATACATACAAAGGCATCTATTTCAAGCATTCTCGATATTTTTTAACTGCGTAAAACAAATTAAACCTTTCGAGAACAATTGCTGGCACCTGCAATATTTACAAACTGAGGTTTAAAATGAGCACACACATACACACGCACACAGACAGACAATAGAAATAGACAGAGAGACAGTTGGACAAAACAATATGCATATTTAGGCGCGTGAAGTATTATTTATAATTGTGGTAGCGTGGTGCGCGTATGTGTGTCTGTCTAGGGGAAAGTGTGTTTATGATATTATGTCATTATCACCGCGATGCGATGATACTACTTCGGATGGCACCGACAATTAATTAGTGTTTGAGGGAGTCGTTGCAATCAATCGATCTTCAGTGAATCCATGAGTGATGTGATATGATGTGATATGATATGATATGATATAGGAATACTCATCACATCACATCTGAACCTCTCCTCCAACTTATTATGTCTCAAAAATGTGTAATGCTATGCTGTCATCAGTGCCATTCCTATGTTATCATCGTTGTTATTGTTGTTGTTTGATGCGTAACACAATGATACTTCCCTTCACCATTTTTTTAAGTAAACATTACTTGTGTAGAGAGAGAAAAAGCAGAATGAAGATGCACAGGAAGTCAGAGAGCATGCATTTTTGCAACTGCTCGAAAGTTCTGCAACTCCATTTTCCTTAATTTTCTTTAAACGAATTCATTTTCTAAAATTTTCTTCTTATCGCTGTATAACAGATATTTCATCAGTCACCAGATACATTTACATCTTGACTGATATTAATAAATTTATTGATTGATTTTTAAACTTCATGCAGTCGAAAATTTCGAAATCTTTTTTATGCTGTCCGATTTGTCCTCGTATAACAGTTAAACGAGAAAGCAAACAAATCCCATACTCGCTGAACTTTGTTGCATTATAGTGACATTTCATCTTTAATTCATTATGTCTCGAAGATTTCCCGTTAATTTCTTATACCAGGCGATGAAATTCAGATAATTTAAATATTCTTATTTCGAAACACATTTATACATTTCATCCTGCTATGCCGAAAATGCCTGAAGTTTATTGTCAGTCACTCTTATCACTTCCTTACTGATCTTAAACATTTTTGGAAAATACCGAAATCGTTGAAATAATAATCGAAATCAAATGCTAAATATTCGCTCTCATTATCACTGGTCATTGCCTCATTGACCTTTTCAAAATATTAATAAGGTTTATGAATCTTATAACATCGTAATAAATGTGTCTAACCTAGTCATCACATAGATTCGTTGTCCATCTGCCTGCTAGTTTGTCCACTTTTTGATTTCGACATTTGCGCAATTAATTTATTCGTTTGCTGAATGGTACTGTCTATATTCTCTGTCAAACAGCTCAAGTCATGATTTCCCATATTTTGTATTATCATTTAAAAATTTCCAATTGCGGTGCAGTCGGTCAGAAGTAATTAAGGTCAAAAATTGAATTGAGATGATAACGAGGGGTTATAGCAAATACGGAGAGGGAGAAAGAAGAGCAAGGACTGGAGAGAGGGATTCGAATTTTGACTTCTTCCCGTTGCGATCGTAGAATCACACCATACAACAACGATACAATTCACAAAAATGCATAAAATGTATGCATTTTGTCTCATTTCAAGTTTACACTGAAATCGCAAATGACACACACACACACACATATATATATATATATGTATTTATATGTGTGTAGTATATACATGCATACCGACAGCGACACCAGCACATATGAATACACTGACACAACCCATGCATACAAAATTGCGCATGTCACTTCGTTCACCCTCCACCTTTTGAAATTTACCTAATTCTGATGAACTACCACAATACTACTTCATTTTATTTGCCATATACATATATGCATACAAATACGTTTGTGTTGGTGCGCAATCATTCAATTTCCTTTATTACTATGTAAAATTAAATTCGAGTTTAAATTTGTACATTTATTTAAGATATGCTGCTAACAATTCTTTTAATCAAAACTGGAATCATTACCCAGTTGAACAAAACTGATGAGGAGTTTTGAAATTTACTTCATGCTTGGGTGGGCTAATTTCAATTGAAAGCTTTAGGACCCGTAGTAGAAAATTAAGATACGGATATAGTGGTCAGTTTTACCAAGTAGTAGGAAAAAGAAGTACTGGACAGTGGTCTATAAAATTATTAACGTCCCACACATCCATAAAAAGACATCATTTCATCTAAATCAATTGCATGCAAAGAAGAATGCTTTCATCTGTGCCCATATGTAATTTTAGAAGTAGCTCGAGAATATGAATTTGTGTACACATCAGCCAATACAATACATCATAATATATGCATATATATACAACATACACACACATACATTGACTGCTATGCTGTGTTAAGGGTAACTGCATATACTCTGCAAAAAAGAATTGAATTCTTGCAAGCGTCATCGTCGCAGTAATGGTTGTCAACCTTATTCATATAGATTACAACAAGCGCGATTAAAAATAATTATCAGAATAAGGCAGGAGAAATTATCATCACTATTTTTATATCACTAGGACAGTACTTATCACCCCCCATTACGCCGTTGCTGTTTCAAAAAAAGTTATAAATACAGTTTGTATTATTTGCACTTCAAACTTCTTTCTAGAACTAGGGATCTCGAAATTAATGCAAGTACTAAGAGTTGTGAGGCATTAAGCAGAGAATATACATGTGCCACATAAATTACAGCTAAGAAAAAAGTTACACTTTTACTACATATGTTATGTATATATTTATATATAGTGCGATCGTTTATCGGTTAGAGAAGTTAAAAAAATAATGATGATAATAGTGAAAGTGATTATTTCATCGACTCTCAACAACTATGCTCATCGCTTTGTTTTTTTCAACAATCACCTCCTCAGTTATTTTAATTCTTAAATATTTGTTTGTGGAAAGTGCATATAGCTACTTACTTGTTAGAACAATTAAGTACCTAAGCTTACGTGACGCTGCTCGTCATCCTTTAGCTCATTCTCTGATATCGTTTAGATTTTTCTATTTGCAGTATTATATTTATTCACAAGACAACCATCCCTTAATAGTTGATCATACGACGCGACAGAATATTCTTGAGGTATAGGCATTTTGATGTCATTCTTTCAGTTATGTCCCATCAGCAAATTTATTGAAATTAGTCATCATGCTGTCAAGAGAGAAAACAGTGGCAGGACTTCATGCGACCATCGATTGATACGCAATGCTTAAATATCAAATACCAGATGGCTTTCAGTTTCGGAGCAATGTGCATACTTCCCGGTTCGTTCATTTACCAGAACAAGTAAGCCACTTTGTACGGACTCTATTCGATTGACTTGATAACTGCAACGCTGGTTCCACGTCCGGATTGCTGCAGTGTTTATCAGTACTGCACTACGGTATACGTATGCGTGACATGGCAGCGACGAATTTGTTGTAGAATCACTTACTCTCTAGCACTAAAGGACAGTATTACAAGCAATACCCAAGCCAAGTGGACATCTCTTCCTGTTGCCCACTTCGTTTCTCCTTTCCACTGCTTTCTCTTCAAGCTTCGTCCAACACACCAACAAAAGACAGCGACAACGACAACAGTGATGAATTTCCCTTTCCATAGATATACGTAATAATGTTTTTTTTTGGAATGGAACAGGACAGAATCAATTTTATGCATATTTTGTTCCCTCTGCGAGAAATAAACTCGCACATACACTTATCCCATACACTCCACTTATATATATTTATCTATTTTATTTTATTTTATTTATTTATTCATTTATAAATGTATTATATATAGACACATCTATCGTACACAATTTAATATCGTCTTCATCATCATCGATATTATATATATGCATTTGCATACGTACAATAACAGCTGTTTTATTTCCATCCCACTGCAAGCTGTACAATGCTCTCTGTAGTTGTTCACTATTGCAGTGACCTGGAATTGACCTATGTGTAGCCCAAATTATTTAAGTAGAGAATGTGATTTGTCTAATAATTTGAATGTAAATTATTAGCTTTAACTGTGAGCAGTATGAAATTTCGCCTTTAAGAAAAAATTTAATCCAGTTAATTCACTAAGGAAATTTTTTAATGGCTGCTGATGAAAAAGGGAAATTGAGTTAGTAGGAAGAAACTAAATAAAGGAAGTAGGAGAAAGGAACTAAGAATTTTGACGATTAAAAAAACTAGTGTTGAAATTAAAGTTATGTGTGTTAATGTGCGCATATCTTCGATCTACTTAAAATAATTGATGATATGATATGTATTCAATTACAGTAGAGATCTTGTAGAAAAAGTAATTTGCTTGTATATCTTTGATTCAGGAACAAAATTGGATATAAACACATACGGGAAGCCGTGAAATTCATCGATTTTTGGCCAAAAATGTCAAGTATGTTTATTAAGTGTACTTCACGAGACAACAAACCTAGAAATGAACCTGCTAATACAAATGCGGGAAGACCTATGGAAGGTATGCTTTTAGATAATCTCACTGTTACTGTATTTATCGAATAGTACTTCAAATTCGAATACTAATGTGCTGTGGGGATGATATGATTGTAACACAGCCTTATCTGACGCTTTACAAAGATTAGTGTTTAATGTCATTTTGTCTTGTCAGAGGCAATTTATAAAGAGATGGATGGATTTATGATGAAGGTAGAAGAAAGGAAACGGAAAGATGTCTTCTGCTCAACACTACCTTACCTTCAACGATGTTACGAAAGATGATAAAATTTCTGCAGATTCTAAACATCCCTTTAATGTGCAGTAAGATGCAATGAGCAATTTAAGATTGAAGCTTGATTCGCAAGTAGTTATGAAGCGACCTGTCGCGAATAATGATTTCATCCAGTCTCAAAGATATTAAAGTTGTAACTTAGTAAAAGGATACTGAGACGGGATTTGGTAGAAACGTTTCTTCTCCCAGCTTTTTCTTGTCATTCACCCAATTTACTACTTCACACATTTGTTGAACTTCACACTATAATGGCTTAATTACTTGAGAAGCTTTCGCAACAGAAGCAGGATTTGAAATCTGATCCTATTTTACATTTTTAATTTACCACTTCTCGTCTTATCTTTACTATCATCAGTTTCTTTCAGGCATATCGAAGAATTTTGCAAACGTGTTAAGTAATGTGCCAGTTGGTGGAACAGTCTCATTTCAGGTTTGCCTGTTATCTCTTATCATTTTCCTTATATAATTTCCAGTTTTCAGTCAGACGATGTAACTCACTTCGTAAAGAGAGCAAACTTGTTCGAAAGGGATCAGAAGTGAAGTGTATTTAAATAGGCTAATTTGATAGGAGTAAGATTTCATTTCTGGAAAAAATCAACAGGAAGTATTTATATTCAAAACCTCCAACCAACTTCTGGGCAATACCTGGGCTGGAAAGCTGTAATCCTCAACCCCTTGCTTCTCGTCACTGTCTTTTCTTATCTAATTTGCATGAATTTCCTTCAAGTAGTGCGGTGTTTCACAAATTTCGTGACAGCATGAAATTGTCGTCACCGTGTCAAGGTTTTTCAAAACGTTAGAAACTGCAAGAGCGAATGACGTTCTGTTCCCAATAGTTATGTGAAACCTGTTCAGGACTGATTCCTTACCGACATCTATTATTACATACTTTGAGTCATATTGTTGTTTCTAATATTTAAATTAGCTCCAGTTTAGTTGCAAAATGACACGATGTTGTGTGTTGTTTGTGGTCTCTTCTGCTTGTTGGTGTCTATTTTCAAACTACATTTTTAGAAAGGAACTTTGGTTAATGTTGTAACATCTCTTTGCGCTTTTAAGGAACTCCACTTCATCTAATTTAGTATTTACATCTAATTTAGTGTTTGAAATTTTCAGGTTACAGCTTATAAAAGAGCAAGTGAGGAAACTTTGGTGACTGATACATCTGATGTTGAAGCAAGCACGAGTACGGCTTTAAGCTGCAGGAATATATCATCAAATAGTCTCCTCGATCGGCGGCAACCACTAGTTAGTAAGGGTTCGAATCCCACATCGTTTCTGCCATCACTCTGAGCTGCTTTTATAATCTGATTTGTACAAAACTGTTTCTTTTTCATAATAATTGTGCTTCCGGGGAAAATCATTGGACTGTAGATGTGACATATTCCCATTTCTGGTTTACTGTTTATGCAGTGCGATTTTGACTTTTACTCGATATGATTTTTGTGATAGTTTGCATTATTTTATAAAGGCAAATACTGAGATCTATGAAATCTCCACTTTGCATATTTTGCAAATTTACTAAAATTTAAGAATTCTGTAAATGTTCATTTTATTTTAGCGGATAACAGCGTTTCCAGATCATCGTGCAAACGCAAATCAGCCTTGCCAAAAAAACGACCCAGCACTATACAGGAGGTGAAACATTTATTTTCACTGTTTTTTTGTACAGTTTAAATTGTTTTTTCTTTTTGAATTTCAGCCTATGATCATAAGTGCTGAAACGGGTGAAGCTGTCGATGATGATGCCGCTCTTACGGAAGATTCGGTTTGTTCATCAGGAAATGATATCGTCGGCAAGGATTGCAGATTTGGTATAGGTTTGATGATTCTGCATAATTTAGAAACTTGGTTTGAAATTAATAAATTGGATGCTTTATAGTAATTAAATGACGATAATTTTTTGTGATAATATTATTATAACAACATGAGAGAAAAAGCTGCAGGATCAACTGACTTCTGTTAAGGTGGCACTGATTTACAACGATTATTGTCAGTGACAGAGAAATGCGTACTTCCAAACTTGTGTGGTGCAACGAATGCAAGGAATATGTATGTATAGGTTTGATGAAATGGAGACATCTGTTTCCATTTCTCCTCTTTTAATTCTTCTGATTTAAAATTTGCTTTTTGTAACTGTCTGTAGGTTTATGATACATGTATTTTAGTAACGCCTAATTATTTTTTACTCGAAAAAAAAGTTTATTTTGCTTTTATATAAATTTTTGATTCAAGAATCAGTGAGGGATTCATAGTACAAAGTAACCGGTTAATTAATTGTTTAAGCATACAAATGCGTTTGTAGTACAGAGAGAAAAGGTTAATTAAAGAATGGAAATTTTTGAGTAGAGAATCTGTATGAGGCAGTGGAGCAGAATAATGAAGTAGTTAAAGTAATTTTTACAAATCTTTTATGGAGAAGTAATTGTTTCATAATCCTATCGTGGTAATAGTACATTATTGTTTGTTACTATGTACTGCATTGACTTTCAAGAGTACTATAACGAAGAGGTAACATTTTTGCACAATATAGTACGTCTACTAACATCTTTTAGTTTGTATTGTGATAACGAATTCCTGAATGGTGAAATTAAATCGGAACATTGGGAAACTTCATCGATCTCTTCTTCCGATATACTGATGATAGATACACGATCAAACAGCTTATCGTTGTTAGAAGATGTTGATGGAAAACAACAAACTATGGAATGTGTGGAATCGTCTATTATCACAGATATAATTGACTATGTGGATTCTACTGAATATAATACGGATTCATCAAAGGCTTTTCATGAACCTGTGGATATACAAATTACCGAAAATTCACCTTCACAAACCGATAGTTCAGTAGACAGGTGCTTTGTTTCGTTAATTTGCTTATATTTAATAGTGAGACAATTGCGAAGGAAGTATACATAGCGTGGTCATATAAAAGTTACATTCAGGATATGTGCTCAGGTTAAATAAGCTATTTACTGCGACAGATTTGTCTTTTCCGTTGCACATTTCTTGAATATTTATAAACAGTCTGAGTACTCTTTCATTGTATTTTTCTTGACTGCACTATCAACTAACATCTCACTGCTTAGTTATCTTATTTCTGCAAAGATTTATTTGGCTTCAATTTGGTAATAACTCATTGCCAAGATATGATAAAAACGTAAAAGATAATCTCTATGCTAGAAAGAACAAAGCAATGCTAGAAAAGAGAAAGTCGATTTGTTAACGACCTCATATATTTATAAGGACTTGAGGTTCTATTGCTCTGCTAGTGTTTCGAATTTTTTCCTACTCTATTTTAGAACAAATAAATATCAAGAAGCGACCGATACGAAAATTTGCAACTTCTCTGAACAATTTGTGGGTCAACGGAATGGTTCGATTATATCAAATTTGAATGATGTCTTGATTTTGAATGCTGCAATAAACAGTTTTCTTTGGGCCAATGCAGGTAAAGTTTTCAAAATTGGGGTTTTGTTTTGTTTCGAGTTATTGTTAAAATTTGATAATACATTCTCGAAGCCTATATCTTTTCATGTTTTATTTTGTTTCAAATTAATATTAGAATTCGATAATATATCTCTGAAGTTATGTCTTTGTGGATCAATATATTGGTTCTTCGCTTATTTTTCCGTTTTGCTATGTTTTGATTAAATTGAGATGTAGCGTCTGAAATATGAGATATAACAGACTCATTAGGATTTCGGAATCTGAAATTTACAGATTGATCAGTTGAAGTTTTTTAAAAGAGACAGCTTTATAGTTATAGGAATTCCTATTTTTACATATTTTTTGAAGTTTTAAATACTCAAGTAAAACATTTTTCCGATGTTAGCCGGTTGATAAAAGGTTTAGAAATTATCCTTATTAAAAAATATTTATAGCTACCGGGACGGATGGAGCAAATCCTTTCATTACTCCGGAAATGCTTGCGTCACTCTCAGCTGCTGATTTATCATCCTCTTTAGCCGTTCCATGTGCTTCCAACCTTACCGACAGTATGTTTAATTTAATATTTTTACGAATTGCATTCTATTGATGAGCATGTTTTGCTTATGTAGTATTGCCAGTTTTCCTGTCTCTCAAATTCTTATCTTTTCTGATATGCTCATTAAAAATATCAAAAAGAGCACTTATTATTCAAAAGGTCTTGTGTTCATAGAAGAGGAAGTTGTAAAGAGTGGAGGACTCATTTCCATTTCGAGCATCGTGCAAATATTTAAATAGATGTACTCATGAGTTTAAGACTAATGTCACAGCCAAGTTTTTTTATCTCATCTTGTCTTTTCAACATTTACCCACACTTGATTTCTTTTTTTCATCTCTTTTTAAAGAATATTTTGTTATGAAATACAATTCTTGGACGCCACAGCTATAATTATGTGCAGTGTTATTCAAAACCAAGAACTCCATCTCATTTCTATTTAAAATAGATACTTATGTGTTTGACTGTTTTGCATTTTTCCATAATTCATTAGTTCGTTATTTTTCTGCATGTCTGCTTTTTAATATAACTTTAATTTCCCCCTTTAGATTTATCCATTTTAACTCCTCTTGAAAATTTAAATCCCAGTCATACCTATTAATTTAGAATCTTACTTTTGAACTCATTCTATTGTCAAGTTTTGCCAATGTTTATAGGTCTGATAAGTGTTGATCAGCAGCAAAGCGCAAATATGTTGCTCTTAGAAGCAGTTGCTGCTGCTAGAGGTGCAGGAACGATGCGAGATTTACTAGGTTCATTTCTCTTTTAAAAACCTGCATAGTTTTTTTTTTTTTTTCGCACTTCCAAAATTCTTAAGAGACTATGAGGCTTACAAGTATATAAGGGAGCGTATAAAAATATACAAAGGGCAAGAAATATATTCATTATGCGAATAGGTTAAGAAATACATTTCTTGGTGAAACGAGCATTTAAATTCCAAGAAATAGAATCAAATTGCAGGGATTACATCAACAAATGACGCGGCAGCGATTGATGTTATGAGTGGCCATAAATCGAAATTATCTGCAGTTTCATCAATGTCTGCTACAGCGGAAATTGTTCCTACCAGTGCTCCAAATATCTTTTTTAATGATGATCATGATGGAATGAGCAAAAAACACGATCAGCGTTTAGGGGATCATTTTTCACACAATGGTAGAGCAGCGTCTGCTGGCAAAAATGTTAATGTGGTAAAAGTTGGTCATTTTCCAGAATTCACGATAAATTTATCGATATGTTGTTATTCTCCAATTAGTAATGTTCTTAAAGTAATGAAAAAATCTCTATATAAGATGTTTCTTTTATTCGCTATCGTTCTCTGCTTGTCAACTTTTTACCATAATGTTTCTAAACGAATCCAGGAGATTTCTGAGATGTAATATCAGCTGTTTACATTCATTGCAGTTGGGTGATACAAAACGTCAATCGAATAAGTGCAAAATTAGTGATATAAAATTGAGCATTAAAAAGCGAGCAAACGAAGAGGTTCTTTCCATATTATTCCAAATTGATGACGTAGTTTTTTTTTGTTTTGTTTCGTGTTTTAGTATTCAGATTTTTTCCAGTATTCCAATATTGTCAGGAAAATTAAATTTTTAAATTTTTAAGATAGATAAATTTAAGATAGGTAAAAAAAAATTTAGATAGATAAATTCTCTGATCTCTTTTTGTAACTTTTAATATATATCAATGCACTAATTCCAGATTCTGAGCAGTGCAGCACGTGCAATTACTAAGGAGGAAAAGATTGATTTGGATGAGCTGGAAAATTTTGCTCAAACATTCAAAAAGCAACGCATCAAATTTGGTAAGATTTATGATATCAGTCTGATAAATTGCAACAAGTAATTTTTTTTGCGAATTTAAATGATCTGAAGTTCAGGATACAAAAATTTTTGATTGCTTCAGTAATTGTAGCTGCATTTTTTCAAATTGAACTTTACATGAAATTAAAATTCATTGAATTTGGTAGTTGTAGGTTTCACGCAAGGTGATGTTGGTCTTGCTCTTGGGCGCCGTTATGGGACTGATTTTTCGCAAACAACTATATCACGTTTCGAAGCACTAAATTTATCCTTTAAAAATATGTGCAAATTACGTCCATTGCTCAAAGAATGGTTGGAGGATGCAGAAGCGGCATTGGCCAACGGCGCTACTATCAGTGATCTCTTGGATGCACCGTCTAGAGAGCCAACTCTACAAGTTTGTTTGTTGGATTTATTTCTTTTTATCGCAACATATCCTTACTAATGGAATTCTTTCAGCGATCATATTTTTTACATTATTTGCAAAATATTCCAACTACATATAATGATGGTACCTCAGAATTTCTTTTGTTTTCGAATGTTAGCTATGCTTCAGCAGCTTTTTCATACATCGCTTGATGTAGAACAATATCTGATGAGGTGAACAAAGAACTGTCATTCAAAAAGGTTGATAATATAAATATTTTAAGACTTGTGTTAAAATTTCATTGTCTTATTCTCGGGAATTCTTGCTTGTAATATTCATCGTAATCAGTAGCTGGTCCGGAAGATTTTTTTTAGGGTGCGTAGTTCCGACTTATCCTATATTTTACTATAATTTTTATTGCTTTTATTTTGCTATTATATGCATGATTCTGAGAACTGCTTAGCCTAAATTCCAGAAAGGCTTCAAAAAGCGGTATTCAGTTACACATATGAATAGCTAGACTTTTATATTTAGAGAACTGCTTTTAAATGGAAAAAGGCTTGTTTCCTTAATTTGCTTTCAATTTTCATTTTGTTTCTTTAATTTGAATCACAGATACATATATTGTCAATATCGTTATTTTCGAAAATTTGGCATCAAACTGATAATTTCAATTGAAAATCTTCGGAAACAATCCCATTACCTTTTCAGGAATGCCATTTCAGGGATGATTTACAAAACAAATTTGTTGTGGGCTCAAGGAGCAGTTATTTTGAGTTGTAATTGTTTAATGACAAATTATAACAGAAAAGTAGAAAAAAATTTAAAAAAACTCAGGGAAATGTTGCAAGCTTTATAACTCATGCAGTGAATTAGACTATGAAATTTGATACAAAACACAATGGAGATAATTTTTTTAAGCTTAGTTGGTGTAACTATAATTACAGTGAAGCAAAACATAGATATGTATGTTAAGATGGTAGCAAAAGTGCAGGTAAGAATAAATATAGTACCATAAAATAGGTAATGAATGCTGTCGTTCTGTCGCCTAATTCACCTTAAAAGCGCTACATGGATTTTGTGTGTGTTTCATAGTTGCTAGAGGATAATTTTTGAGATGCACGTTGGTTTAGCTCTTCAAGGTCATATATAACGATTTAAGTACTATCAGTCGAGAAATTTTGGAATTTATATTTGAATAAATTTATCTTTTATTCATGAATGTTCTGATTTCTTTCCAGCAATGTTGCGTCTTTTAGCAGTTTCGAAAATCCCTTATTTTTTTTGCACTGAATTTGGGATAAAACTTTAAGTTTATGTCATTAAAAAAAAAAACAAAAAGCTTTCTTCCTGTCTTTCCAGTTTTTTCTTTTATAACGTCCCATGTGTATTAAAAGACATATGCAGAAAAAATTTATTAAAATTTGTAAATATACATTTTTGACCTTTCAAAATCCTTTATCCATTATCCTATTTTATATCTTTGCACACTTTATGACATTTGACATACTAATGATATTTCGTATGTTTGCTCTTTTTTTTATACGCAAGGGATTTGGTGGGGAATTTTTTATAGAGGAAATCTGATGCTGCGGTAACGGTAAGCTTTGACAGTGTCAGTCTATTACAATGGTAATAGTGTAGAATGGTGAGAAACTTTTAAAACTTAATGAGCTGATTAAGTAATAATTGGCGATATTTTAACTGTTAGTAGATGCTATTTTATTTGACACTGTGACATATAATAGGTACATAATAGTGATTTAAATAAATAATTGAGTTAGTGTCGAAGTTAGTAATTAGTATTTATAGCAAAAGTGTAAGCGCCCATTTGTTTTTCCACAAAATTCTTTTCTGCATGAGGAATGAGTTGGAGATTTGAGTTCCTGTGTTTACTATAGATGAATGTAGATCGTTTGTTTGTATTGTTTCTCATTTTCAAAGAAATTTGATTATTGATCTAAAATATAGCGTTTTGTAAAAAAATCATCCTCACACTGTCATCCTCATTCTAGTTTTTTTTTTTTTTTTTTGCTGTGAAATTTGTCTTAGAATTATTTTTTTTTTTTTGAGCATATATATTAAGGATATTCATTCAGATTTTCAGGTATATTAAAACATTCACTCAGACTTTCAACTCATACTTTTCCTTTTTTCCAATTTAATTCCTAAATAAATGCTATTATATTTGATGTGCTTGCGTTAGTGAAAGTCTCGAAAAGTAATTATGTCTCATGTAGGACATTCCATTAAAGCGGCATAAGCATAGCTTTTCAAGATAAAATCTGGTCTTTTTTTAAATTTATATTTGCTATGAGGACATGAATAAAATAGCAATGATTTAGATAGAATTATATTCTTAGGGAAAATCTTTATTTGAAAGCTAGGCTCGATAAATGAAGAACCAAAACTTTGAAGAGATGTTTTGTAGTTGTAAAGTTGATAAATTTTTTTTTTCAGTATCACACATCGGTAATACATTTACCGTTGAATAATAACAAACCGAGCTCTTTAATGAGCATTAATGCAAGCAGTGGTAATAAAATGCTAAGCGACGAGTCACCATCACCAAATGGATCTACTGTGTGCAGTTCAGGCACTGCTGGTGGTGTTCCGCTGAAAAAACGTCGCAAACGAACCAACTTGGATTTAGCACAACGTTCAGCACTGGATGCTTACTTTGATATGAACCCACGTCCGGACCACAATAGAATGGCGGAAATTGCCGAATTAGTAGGGCTAGATCGAGATGTAAGTTATTATTGTTAATTGTGCACAAGACCAGTTATATTTAATTACAAAGCTGTTCCTGTTGGATTAACTCAGGTTCATTTCATAAGTTTATATTATCATGTTGAGGATAGCAACCTTTAGAGTGGTTGTGGTTGTTAGACTGAGTCTTCTCATATTGATTTCCACATTCTCCATTTCAGCTATATCACGATTATCATGATGATTTTGTACATATAGCCTTCTGCTGTTTTTGCGTGAATGCTCCATAAAGCTTCTGTTTTCACTTGAAGTAGCTCATTTATTCTAGGTAGTTCGCGTATGGTTTTGCAATCGACGACAGAAACTTCGTAAAGAATAATTTATTATATTAGTTGTGCGGTTCTGTTCGTCCTCTCCATTTCAGTATCACGCCACGATTCGCTTTTTTGCCCTTATTGCTCAGAAGTCTTTCTCGATACAGAGTAGTCATTTCTTTGTTATTTATTCTATTATTTTTTAATTTTTTTTCAGGTAAAATAATTCAGATTTGCCTTCTTACAATTCGTCCTTCACTTTTTCTGTGGGAATAGATATTAAAAGCTAAGCAAATAGGAAATTATAATTAAAAAGCATAATAAACATTAGGAAATAAAATTGCAAATCCCCTTTAGACCCTATAGACATTCGAAGCGCGAAATTTACATGATTTTTCAAAAATGTTAAACTTTTTTTTTTATTTTTATTAAATGTTTAAATATTTAAATGTGTTTATGTTTAGACATATTTATTTTTTGTAAATTTTATTGTTAACTCATTGGTCTTTTTGGCTGAAAAAGTTCTATGCTTTTTTAAAAGTTGACTCTCTGTCATCGCTGTTGTTGTTTTCGTGAATTTTTCTTTTCATGTGCCTTCCAATTCTTTTTTCAGTATCCATACTGTATTCACTTTTTTGTTGCTTAATCTGCTTCTCTTTACATTTTATCTTATTTTTTATGATTTAATGCATTTTTGGTAAGAGCGTTTTCTTCTTTGAATGTCCGATTCTCTTTTTATATGCATTCTTTTCATTATTTATGTCAAATATATTGCATATTTATTCCTTTTTCTAGATCATATTGTTGAGAACTATCAACTTTCATCACATTAGAGTAGCTCTCTCACCACTGCAATCAATTCTCTTCCGGTGCAGCTTTGCTCAATAGTGATCGACTTTGTTAACAGATAGATCACTCCTGCATGAATAATTTCAACCATCAACCATATTCATGTATTTTTAAAATGTGTTCCATAGATTTCATTTATTTGAAATGCAACAGATATGCCGGCGTCCTTTGAAGGGATTGTTTACCCTTGCGAATGTACTAGTATGTTTTCGTTTAAACTCCCTAAAATTTAAAGACCAGTAAAAAGCAAAAAAATTTTGTTTTGGATAGCTCGAATTTAGAATTTCTATAAATTTGTGACTTGAACTCTTGAATTATAGTCATCATCTATCTTTATCTCTGTACATGAAAGATGCAAATGGTTATAAGTTTTAGTCTGGATCGATATTCTCTGATAGATGACAAGCAGATGCAAAGATTGGTTTAGGAAGACGAATTACTACTTTGCGATTCCATAATTTTACAATCAGTGCAAATTGCTCTTCAGATTATGATGTTTGAGTGATATGTAATACTCTTTTGGTTCATTTTTCGGATTCATATTTTAGATTTGTGTATTATAAATCAATCCTTTTTGGAAATATGAAAAGTGAATAATTCCTCATAATGAGTTTATATTCATGTATTTATTACTATTTCCCTGTGCGAATTATTCTGGTGATTTTATTTTGCTCGTCTGATGTTAGTGTTCAGTCTTCCATTTTTGCTTCAGTTGAAAAGATTGTATTTATGCAGATGTGGTTTTTGGTTTCAATCTCTATTTGTACCTATGTTTGCTTGCATCATCCAGACGACGAGTATATATTTGATTATCGTGGCCAGTTTGTTTATTGTAACATCGCTCGAGTAATACGATTGTTTTCAGCACTTTGTCGATTTTACTTTTCTTTGTTTAATATCATATGAAATAATCGTCATTGCTGTTATAAGTTCAGTTTGTGATACAACAATAATAACGCTTGTAGTTTTTGGTTATTTTACTAAAAAAATCGTTTACCCAAACAGTAAATATATTTTGGACACATTCTAACTGAGAATCTAAAATCAGCAGGAATTCTGGCTATTAGAGAGTGCAGTAGAGCAGACCAGTAGATAGGAAAGTGAGGAGTTAAAAAGAACACAGGTGTTCATTGATTCACGCATAAGCTTTTAATCAAACCACTAAAGTTTTGAATACACACCTGATAGTTAATTTATGTATGACAGAAGTATTGTTGCACTTCATTTCATTCTGTGCAATCAAAAGCACTGGGGTGACATTAACGATGGAATACTAGCTAAAAATAAGAAATAAACTAACAGTGTTTTGCTTAATTTAATTCTCAATTAGTTTCTTCCAAAAGTGTAAATAACATTGAAAGTCCTCTATCTTGCTGTGATAGAGGGCTTTATAATTTAACATCGTCCTCTGCACGATTGATTTATTGTTCAAGTAGTGATATGCAACAGTGATCTTGTTAATGTTTCCTCATATTATCCTCATTTATGATTTATTTCTATATTTACTTTGCTCATATTGTTCACATATTATTCAATAACTGAAATGAATTGCTGGTCAGAATTATTTAGGTGTCATTACGTTGAAATATCGCTTATTCACCTACACACAGTGTACTAGAAGAAAATTTATATGCAAAGGAAGATCCAGAGATAGGCATGTCAGCAAAAAATGTAAATATATGCCTGTTTTTGTGTCTGGTTAATCAGATTACTGGTATTTTTGTTAATTTGTGTGATAATTCATCAGTTTATTATATATTATGAATTTAAAATAGTTGAAAGGATGCATACAAAATTAAATTAAGAAAAAAGGAAACACAATGATTGACTGGAATGCACAATAAAATATGGTTTAAAACTTTTAAAAAGCAGGTATTTAAAAAAAGCATGCAAAATATTAATCTAATCGACAAATTGTCTATTATTTATCATGAAATGCATCTTGAATCATATTTCTGAAATCTTAATGTTAAATAAGAAAAGATTTAACTCAACCTAGTGGGATACCACTTTGATGACAGTATAATATTATGTTCAATTTAACAGATACGTTGCATCACTCTTACTGATGGCATTAATTCCTTGTCCTGCTGGATTACAAAATCGTAACAACGATCACCAATTCCTAATTTACTGTCCGCTAAATTCAAGTGATTACAATATTTGCGATTACCCTGAAAAGGAAACTTGATTTTGTAAACTTTCAGAGTAAGTTATTTCTTCAAGAAAACTGTACATAAGGAATTGTAAACTGATACATTTGTTCTATTACTATTCGACTGTTTCTATTTTGCTTAAATGTAGATGGAAAATTTAAATACGTTGTTAAAAAGCAATACATAGATCAAATTGATTCTGAGCAGAAGAAAAATAATTTGAAATTCAAAACAGATCTATTAATTGCTGCAATCTCGTCAAGTTTCTTACAACCCGTTTTCCATATTTCCGCTATGGCAGATGGTTAAAGAAATTTTAAGACATTTTTACCTGATTTTGTGAAGCGCAATAGAGTATAGCACTGTGTTTCAGGGCCACATTTTCTGGTTACAATTGTTTTTATCACTTAAAATTTGCTGTGGTAAACGTATTGGAATATTTTTGGTATTTTTGGAGCAAGATTGGACTGTGTAGATATATAAAAAAATACAAGATGTACCTGTTATGGATGAATAGATGGATCATGTTATATTAAATATGTTAAATCTCTGATACCTGGAATTCGGGTCAATTTTATTAATACAACGCAGTGCAAATCTACAAGAAGAGTAAAATGAATACCAATTCTTCTCCATCCAACACATTCAGGCATTTCAAACCAATCAATTTATCAAATAGTAATCGAAATTAGGAAGAATCGTTATGCATTTGACCTAAATGAGTGGGAAAATTTCTTTTGTAAAAGTCTAATATTTTCATATGAAGGCATAGCTATTTTGCAAACCTATTGAGTGGCCGAGTGACCTTCAATCTTCGGTGCTTCATATTTTTTTGTTATTTATCATATTATGATTACTATCTTTATTATTATAATTATTACTATTATTATTATCATTATTATTATTATATTTCGAGTTATTTTTTAAAAGACATTATTACTAAATATTCCTTATTGATTTAGATAAGCTTAGGCCGCATAGGTTATTTCATTGTACCACTTCAATAATAAATTTTATTTTTTTGAGAAGGAGAAGTTGTCGCAAACGAGTAGCAATTTAGTCATTCATGCTAAAATTGTTTTGCGCTATTATCTTCCAGTTCAACTCATTTTTCATTTCTAGTTTAAGTTTAAGTTCGTTTAAGTTCATACTTAATAATTCACAGTGATACTGTATCGCTGTACACCAACGATACTTCTTTAAGTGGTGGACAAAAACATTTCAGTTTATGTTTAGCTCTTTCATTGCTATGGTACCGAGATGAAAAGTACGGATGTGACAGGTTAAAAGATTTGCAGCTCTTTATTTGTATTTCTTGCTTTAGTTTAGCATGTCATTCTAAATCTAACATGCGATTTCACTTTTTACTCAATTATAGTTTCCGCATATTTCATACACATATTTACGTCTCGCTAGTGTTATACCTATATTTCTAGTTCTCGTAACTTATAAATTCTTATCACTCGTAACTTGCAGATTCCACATGTATATCCATACTTGATATTGTTTGCGCAAAATCATTAATTAAAAACGATATGACACTTGCATTTAACAAAAATTTTAATGACTATTATTAGTTGTAGTAGGTGAAGTAGGGAGAATTTTCAGCTGAAATGGTCAGTGGAATGTATCATTTCAATGAGGAACAAAGGAGACAAATAATCGCAATTCGTAATCAGTTACAGGCTTAGGCTTAGGCTTAGGCTTAGGCTTAGGCTTAGGCTTAGGCTTAGGCTTAGGCTTAGGCTTAGGCTTAGGCTTAGGCTTAGGCTTAGGCTTAGGCTTAGGCTTAGGGCTTAGGCTTAGCTTAGGCTTATAGGCTTAGGCTTAGGCTTAGGCTTAGGCTTAGGCTTAGGCTTAGGCTTAGGCTTAGGCTTTAGGCTTAGGCTTAGGCTTAGGCTTAGGCTTAGGCTTAGGCTTAGGCTTAGGCTTAGGCTTAGGCTTAGGCTTAGGCTTAGGCTTAGGCTTAGGGGCTTAGGCTTAGGCTTAGGCTTAGGCTTAGGCTTAGGCTTAGGCTTAGGCTTAGGCTTAGGCTTAGGCTTAGGCTTAGGCTTAGGCTT